ACAACTGGTCGGGGTCCGGTTACACAACTGGTCGGGGTCCGGTTACACAACTGGTCGGGGTCCGGTTACACAACTGGTCAGGGTCCGGTTACACAACTGGTCGGGGTCCGGTTACACAACTGGTCGGGGTCCAGTTACACAACTGGTCGGGGTCCGGTTACACAACTGGTCGGGGTCCAGTTACACAACTGGTCTGGCTTCGGTTACACAACTGGTCGGGCTCCGGTTAAATAACTGGTCGGGCTCCGGTTAAATAACTGGTCGGGCTCCGGTTAAATAGCTGGTCGGGCTCCGGGGGTGTCACTTGAGCTTTGGGTTGTGCATGGTCGGGCTTCGGTTCGTGCATGGTTGTGCTTCAGATGTTGTTTGTTTTGAATTGTTTGTTTGGTCCATTCATGTTAGGCTTGCGGTTACACAACTAGTCGGAGTCTGGTTACACAACTGGTTCGGGCTCCGGTTACATAACTCCAGGGGTGTGATTTCTTGGGCTTTGGGTTGTGCATGGCCGGGCTCCAGGTCGTGCATGGGTGTGCTCCAGGTGTTTGTATACTAGTGCTCCAGGTTTGTTTGCTAGGCTTCCATGGTTGGTTTCTAGGGCAAATGAAGGGTTTTAGGTAGGGTTAAGAAGATTTTTATTTGGTCGAGCTAGGTATGGAGTTTGGTTGGGCTCTGGGGCTGTTTAGCTTGGTAGGGGTTGGATGAGATGTGAACTTGCTAGGCTTGCGGCTACACAACTGGTGGGGTTTGTTACACAACTGGTGGGGTTTGTTACACAACTGGCTGGGGTCCAGTTACACAACTGGTGGGGCTTCGGTTACACAACTGGTCGGGCTCCGGTTAAATAACTGGTCGGGCTCCGGTTAAATAACTGGTCGGGCTCCGGTTACTTAACTGGTCGGGCTCCGGAGGTGTTACTTGGGCTTCGGGTTGTGCATAGTCGGGCTTTGGTTCGTGCATGGTTATGCTTCAGAGGTTATTTAGTTCATAAATACTAGGCTTGCGGTTACACAACTGGTCGGGTCCGGTTACACATCTGGTCGGGCTTCGGTTACACAACTGGTCGGGCTCCGGTTAAATAACTGGTCGGGCTCCGGGGGTGTCATTTGAGCTTCGGGTTGTGCATGGTCGGGCTTCGGTTCATGCATGTTTGTGCTTCAGATGTTGTTTGTTTGATGTTTGTTTTGAATTGTTTGTTTGGTCCGTTCATGCTAGGCTTGCGGTTACACAACTGGTCAGTGTCTGGTTACACAACTGGTTCGGGCTCCGGTTACATAACTCCAGGGGTGTGATTTCTTGGGCTTTGGGTTGTGCATGGCCGGGCTCCAGGTCGTGCATGGGTGTGCTCCAGTGGTTGTTTGTGTACTAGTGCTCCAGGTTTGTTTGCTAGGCTTCCATGGTTGGTTTCTAGGGCAAATGGAGAGTTTTAGGTAGGGTTAAGGAAATTTTTATTTGGTCAAGCTAGGTACGGAGTTTGATTGGGCTCTGGGGCTGTTTAGCTTGGTGGGGGTTGGATGAGATGTGAACTTGCTAGGCTTGCGGCTACACAACTGGTGGGGTTTGTTACACAACTGGCCGGGGTCCGGTTACACAACTGGTGGGGCTTCGGTTACACAACTGGTCGGGCTCCGGTTAAATAACTGGTCGTGCTCCGGTTAAATAACTGGTCGGGCTCCGGTTACTTAACTGGTCGGGCTCCGGGGGTGTTACTTGGGCTTTGGGTTGTGCATGGTCGGGCTTTCGTTCATGCATGGTTGTGCTTCAGAGGTTATTTAGTTCGTAAATGCTAGGCTTGCGGTTACACAACTGGTCGGGGTCCGGTTACACAACTGGTCGGGCTTCGGTTACACAACTGGTCGGGCTCCGGTTAAATAACTGGTCGGGCTCCGGGGGTGTCATTTGAGCTTCGGGTTGTGCATGGTCGGGCTTCGGTTCATGCATGGTTGTGCTTCAGATGTTGTTTGTTTGATGTTGTTTGTTTTGAATTGTTTGTTTGGTCCGTTCATGTTAGGCTTGCGGTTACACAACTGGTCGGTGTCTGGTTACACAACTGGTTCTGGCTCCGGTTACATAACTCCAGGGGTGTGATTTCTTGGGCTTTGGGTTGTGCTTGGCTGGGCTCCAGGTCGTGCATGGGTGTGCTCCAGTGGTGGTTTGTGTACTAGTGCTCCAGGTTTGTTTGCTAGGCTTCCATGGTTGGTTTCTAGGGCAAATGAAGGGTTTTAGGTAGGGTTAAGGAAATTTTTATTTGGTCAAGCTAGGTATGGAGTTTGGTTGGGCTCTGGGGCTGTTTAGCTTGGTGGGGGTTGGATGAGATGTGAACTTGCTAGGCTTGCGGCTACACAACTGGTGGGGTTTGTTACACAACTGACCGGGGTCCGGTTACACAACTGGTGGGGCTTCGGTTACACAACTGGTCGGGCTCCGGTTAAATAACTGGTCGGGCTCCGGTTAAATAACTGGTCGGGCTCCGGTTACTTAACTGGTCGGGCTCCGGGGGTGTTACTTGGCCTTCGGGTTGTGCATGGTCGGGCTTCGGTTCATCCATGGTTGTGCTTCAGAGGTTATTTAGTTCGTAAATGCTAGGCTTGCGGTTACACAACTGGTCGGGGTCTGGTTACACAACTGGTCGGGGTCCGGTTACACAACTGGTCGGGCTTCGGTTACACAACTGGTCGGGCTCCGGTTAAATAACTGGTCGGGCTCCGGTTAAATAACTGGTCGGGCTCCGGTTAAATAACTGGTCGGGCTCCGGGGGTGGCACTTGAGCTGCGGGTTGTGCATGGTCGGGCTTCGGTTCATGCATGGTTGTGCTTCAGATGTTGTTTGTTTTGAATTGTTTGTTTGGTTCGTTCATGCTAGGCTTGTGGTTACACAACTGGTCGGGGTCTGGTTACACAACTGGTTCGGGCTCTGGTTACATAACTCCAGGGATGTGATTTGTTGGGCTTTGGGTTGTGCATGGTCACCCGGGCTCCAGGTCGTGCATGGGTGTGCTCCAGGTGTTGTTTGTGTACTAGTGCTCCAGGTTTGTTTGCTAGGCCTCCATGGTTGGTTTCTAGGACAAGTGGAGGGTATAAGGTAGGGTTAAGGAGATTTTTGATTGGTCGAGCTAGATATGGAGTTTGGTTGGGCTCTGGGGCTGTTTAGCTTGGTGGGGGTGTGATGAGATGTGAACTTGCTAGGCTTGCGGCTACACAACTGGTGGGGTTTGTTACACAACTGGCCGGGGTCCGGTTACACAACTGGTGGGGCTCTGGTTACACAACTGGTCGGGCTCCGGTTAAATAACTGGTCGGGCTCCGGTTAAATAACTGGTCGGGCTCCGGTTACTTAACTGGTCGGGCTCCGGGGGTGTTACTTGGCCTTTGGGTTGTGCATGGTCGGGCTTCGGTTCATCCATGGTTGTGCTTCAGAGGTTATTTATTTCGTAAATGCTAGGCTTGCGGTTACACAACTGGTCGGAGTCTGGTTACACAACTGGTCGGGGTCTGGTTACACAACTGGTCGGGGTCTGGTTACACAACTGGTCGGGGTCTGGTTACACAACTGGTCGGGGTCTGGTTACACAACTGGTCGGGGTCTGGTTACACAACTGGTCGGGGTCTGGTTACACAACTGGTCGGGCTTCGGTTACACAACTGGTCGGGCTCCGGTTAAATAACTGGTCGGGCTCCGGTTAAATAACTGGTCGGGCTCCGGTTAAATAACTGGTCGGGCTCCGGTTAAATAACTGGTCGGGCTCCGGGGGTGTCACTTGAGCTTCGGGTTGTGCATGGTTGGGCTTCGGTTTGTGCATGGTTGTGCTTCAGATGTTTTGTTTGATGTTGTGTGTTTTGAATTGTTTGTTTGGTTCGTTCATGCTAGGCTTGCGGTTACACAACTGGTTCGGGCTCCGGTTATATAACTCCAGGGATGTGATTTGTTGGGCTTTGGGTTGTGTATGGTCACCCGGGCTCCATGTCGTGCATGGCTGTGCTCCAGGTGTTGTTTGTGTACTAGTGCTCCAGTTTGTTTGCTAGGCCTCCATGGTTGTTTTCTAGGACAAGTGGAGAGTTTTAGGTAGGGATAAGGAGATTTTTGTTTGGTTGAGCTAGGTATGGAGTTCGGTTGGGCTCTGGAGCTGTTTAGCTTGGTGAGGGTTGGATGAGATGTATACATGCTAGGCTTGCGGTTACACAACCGGTGGGGTTTCGGTTACACAACTGGTCGGGTTCAGTTACACAACTGGTCGGACTCGGGTTACATAACTTTTCGGGCTATGGGGGTGTCACTTTGGGCTTTGGGTTGTGCATAGTCGGGCTTCGGTTCATGCATGGTTGTGCTTCAGAGGATGTTTGGTTCGTAAATGCTAGGCTTGCTGTTACACAACCGGGCTTCGGGGTGCACAATAAACTACCACTCTAAGGTTGAATTGGGGGAAGCTTAATGAACTATCCACCTCTGGCGGCAAAAAATCAATTTACCGTGCAACTACGGTCTAGTTGCAAACATTGCAAATATTCCAATTGATTTTATATATATATATATATATATATATATATATATATATATATATATATATATATATATATATATATATATATATATATATATATATATATATATATATATATATATATATATATGATGTCGTGATGGTCAAGTGGATTAAGGCGTCTTGTACATACCAGTTGCGTGGCTCCTGGGAGTATGGGTTCGAGTCACTTCTGGGGTGTGAGTTTTCAGTTGCAAATTGTCCTGGGGACCATTCAGGCTTGTTCGTATATATATATATATATATATATATATATATATATATATATAATGTGTGTGTGTGTGCGCAGGAATAATATTAATAAAACAATTAACATCGTGTAGTGTACTCTATATATCAAAATATATTACTTTGAAACCCACAGCATTCACAAAAAAAAACAATTGGGCTACTCCTTTTACAAATTCGATACTTCGCTACTTTTGGAGCGTCAGCTCGCTACTTTGAGCAAGTTAGATGTGGCAACCCTGCCCGGGGGAGTCTCCAGTCTGGTTATACTTCTCGGTGGTGTGTGTTTACATCTTGTCAGGGTCCAGCATGGCATCCTCAGACGGTGAAAACTATATTATTATTCTCTTGTTGGATATAATAAGTCTATATGTATGTGTGATATTAAGGTGTTTATGTAAGACAGTGGGTAAAAGTCACTTTGTACCCAAGGCTTCAAAGTAGTTTACTCGGATTTACCTGAGGCCATTAGCACTCAAGTGGGCTCGACTAGAACAGCAAGCCGGGGGCTTGTCCGAGTTTCCTCCCCTATTTGCCGTGACGATTTTTTCCAGATGGATTTTAACATTTGTTTTCGGCGGGTAGGCCGTTCCATTGGTTTATAAACCTGTTGGTGAAAAAGCATCTGTGTTCTGTCCTGCATTACAGCTTGTTGAGCTTAAAACCGTTGCTCCTTGTTTGCGTTACATGTGATCCTTTTGAAGAAATTGTCTGCATCATCATCCTACAAATTGTTTAGTATTTTAAGTTTCGATGAGATCTGCCCTGTCATGCCTGGTTTGTAGTGTTAGCCCAGTGACCCTCAACTGTTCCTGGTACGAGAGTTGACTTAGTTCTGAGATGATGTTTGCTGCCCGATGTTGAACTTTCTCTAAAACAGCTATATCCTTCTGTAAATGAAGTCTTCATGGTTGGATACAAGTAATTCAAGAGATTTATACATTTGAATCACAACCTTTTTTCCTTTCAAGAGATACTTGCAAGACGTATCAAAACCGGCAACGGTTTTAGTCTCCGTGGTGTAGTGGTAAGACACTCGCCTGGCGTTCCGCGAGCGCTTTGTCATGGGTTCGTATCCTGGCCGGGGAGGATTTACTGGGCGCAAATCCTTAACTGTAGCCTCTGTTTAACGCAACAGTAAAATGTGTACTTGGTTGTAACAACGATTCTTCGCAGCGGGGATCGTATTCCAGGGACCTGCCTGAAATGCTACGCATACAAGAATGTAACCACTCTTGTATATATCTAAAAACAAAAACAAAAAAAAAAAGTGCCGGACCATCCAAGCTGTAGTGGATATGTGGGCCTGCGGCCTGTTTCCAGCAACAGCCTGTTGGACCAAGGTATCACAAGTCGAGCCTGGCTTCAGGCTGGGCTCGGGGAGTAGAAAACATTCCAAAACTCTCTCCAGGTGTGCTCCTTAAAGTCAAAGTTACACTTGATTATTGCTAGGGTTCAGTTAGCTGCTGCTCCAACCTGTTGTGCAACTTCCAGTGAATGCTGGATTTTGACTCCAAAGTCCTTTTCTTCATCAATCTGCTGTAGGGTAATGTTATTAATATGTGGCATGGGTTGTTTTGCCTTAGATGCCAAGTCTTGCATTTTTCGATATTAAAAACCATTTGCCAGTCTCCTGACCGTTTGTGGAGTTCATGTAGTAATGCTTGAATATAATTTTCATTTCCCACTTTACCATAGATCTTGGTGAGAAAATCCATAGGAGCCTATGCAGTGATAAGGATTCGAACCTATGCAGTGGGTGTTCCCATGGTATGTCCCTGATAACCTAATGGCATTTTTGGCCACGGCATGGTCAAAAGGATTGCAACCTGCAGTTCTACTGAGTACACTGGTTGAAGGAAGAATATGGAATAGTAAAGGTTTAGTTGCAGGGTGGTATAGGAAGGAAAGGGGAACTGTCAGGAGAAAGTGCCAAGCCATTAAGACTATACTGGTATAACCCTTGTAAGGGATAAGGATTTGGGGTGCAATGGGGGGAAGGGGTAGTGCCCAACTCCTTAGGACGGTCAGGGATTGAACACTGATGTGCATGAGGCGAGACCGTTGCTCTACTGTCGAGCCCAAATCGTTGAGTAGGTGGTAGAAGAATGAAATAGATTGTCAGCCAACATCATTTGAGTCAAATAGTATAACTAAGTTTAAAAGAAAAAGGCTTATTAGGTACATTTGAGAAAGAGATTGGATTTAGATGGACACTGCCCCACAGTCCCATTACAGAGACTCCTGCTTCTTACGTTCTTATGTATTTACCTGGGGGCAACCATTTTGGTGACCTTGTTGGAGACAGGAAGCCAGTGGCTTGTCAAAGATTCCACCCCCCATTATTCCTGTCTAAATGTGTATTTATACCATACTTTATTTCTAATTTTAGGATTGAGATCATGCCTATATGGCCCAGAATCCCTGGAAGAGCGACTCTCTCTTGGAGAACGAGCATTTCTGGCCCCACTCAATGTTCCAGTCTCACACAAGGAAGATGTTGTCATTATATGGTTATCTCAACTTGTCACTAATAAGGTATGTTTCAAATATATCTTAAAAATTGTCATTTAAGGTTCAGGTATCTGATTTTCAAGTGCCATTGAGGTACTTCCCATTCATCTTTATTTTCATACTCATCATATTGGACTAGAAAAAAGTAAATTCTGTACATGTTAGTAATATTAGTATGTGAGTAAATTTGCATATAAATACAGGGTAGTAATAAAATATTCAACCAATTTTTAATAATCACTGAATTCTGAATATTAGATTGATAAACATTTAATTCCTGTGTGAATCGTGTCAAAGCCAATACAAGTGCAAAACACTGTCTCTGCCACATGCATCCTCCAGTGGCAGAATATGCTTCTTGGCATGATGTTTTTTTTTAATGTGTCAAACCAACACTGTGGTTAAGAGAATTTCTGAGGAATACCACTTGGTTGCTTCCTTGAGCAATGTCCTGGTTTTCCCAGAGAAAGGATTGTTTACAAAGAGGTCAGATAGATATTTACATGCTACCTCAGTTAGGATATTTTTATACTGTATTTAATTGCCAAGAATTCACGGGAGAAGACACATCCAGCCTAGAGTGACACCCAGAAGGTTCATTCATCAACACTCAAAATTCCATTCAAGTTGTGTTCTGTGACTTGTTGATTGCCTCGCCTAGTTGATACATCAAGCCTCCCATCCACTCTATAGCCACAACTCCTGACATCTAAGTAGCTCCCTATTAGGAAATTCCTGAGCAGATGTTTATTTAGGAGGCTCTGTTACCAAACAAATCTTTTTGAACCCCACCTTCCTCCTCTTCCCCCCCCTGCAATTCTTATTTTTATATATTGTTCATCTCTTCCCTTCCACAGTATTGGTTGTTTTCCTCTGCTATGGTAAATGATCACCTTGTTTCACCTTGTTTCACCTTGTTTCACCCTTGTACACACCTCTTGTTACATAGTTCAGGTATGTTACTAAATATGTTCGTATTACCTAAGTGCATTGCCTTGCACCCACTCCACATTTCATTCCTTTACTCCTTCACTCATACTATGTATCTCATGCACTTTCATTGCTACATCCATTCTATATATCGGTACACTTACACCAGCTTCGTTTCTCTAACAGATAACAATACATAGTGGCAGTACTGCATTTTGATATAGTCTGTGATTATAAACTATTTTATTGGTTTATGGTAATATTTCTCATGATGAACCTTTTGCTGCCTTTTCTGGTTTATGGGACTAAAATCAGTGTACAGTTAAAGAGGTTAATCTTTTTGTATTGCTCCCCTGTTTCTTCTGGGCTGATAACTCTTGGCCCCAGGAAAATGGGAAATAAGGTACTGTACTAGTGATAAGAGTAACAAAGTTTTTAGATTGCATCCCTGGTTTTCCATATACTGTATTGTATTTTTTCTTTTACAGCATGATGTCATTCAGTACAATGTTTTCCAACTGTACATGCTTCATTTATTATGTCAAGCTCATTTGATGTATTTGAAGAAATTTCATTCACCCATTGTTTATACTGTATTTGCGTTTGTTACAGGTATTGACACTGAACTCTGCGGATCTAAAGGCGGTTTTGAGGACGATGAATAATATCCTTAACTCCCGGAGGCTCAAGGCACTTTGTAGTAACAATTGGTTCTGTCCTATCAGCTCATCTTTCACCGAGGTAAATTATTGAGCAACACTTAAGCTTCAGTGTTCCTCTTTTCACCCCTGCATATTCCTCTTTTGTTTATGTTCTCTGGTAAGATCGTAACAGGGAGTCACTGTGGAGCCCTCCCAGAAAATCGATACAGAATGTAATGATATGCCTCTTTGTGTGTTCTCGGTGGCTCCCTGGACGGTCCCTTCTCATTACAGGTGCATTGATTTGCCCATGGTCAGCTTCTTAACCGAAGGGATACACCAGCTGAGCTAATAACTCCCTGTGCTACCATCTGGTGGTAGGAAAGTGGAAGTCACAGTTGCTCTATATACCTACTGTGTGTGTTGTTTTCTGTTTACTTTTTACTTGCTGCTGTCATTTGTCTCACTTCACCTTTCTGGTGCCTATTTTTGTCATTAGTGTTCTAGTATTATATGTTTTATGCACCTCTGTGAGGGGGACCAGGTTTAGGCATCTGGTCACTTGTAGGCTTTTCATGACTCCCAAAAGTTTGGTGTAATTTGGTGTGTGTGGAGCTATTCTAGATGGTTAGCAACAGGAAACCACCAAGTGTAACAGCTTAGCTGTTGATTTTTGATGTAGTCTTGTATTGAAGTATATTGTATGATTTACAGAGGACAAAAGCTGGGATGGGGTCGAGGGGTATTTCTTCCTGAGTTACGGAAAAAGGGTTCATCCCAGGGGATCTGAGCGCTTAAGTACTATTGTCATATTTTTCTTGTGAGCATAATTTATTTACATTTAGAGAAATGCAGTATTAAAAGTAATTGTAGTAATAATCAATCTTGTTTAAATACTGGTGTTAAATTATCATCAATTTAAAGTGAAGAATCCACTCCTCTTAATCGGCAAGTGCAGATGAATCAAGTAGGATGGGGACTAATTTTGATCTGGCTCATCTGGCTTCTGACTCATCCTTGGTCAAAGGTGGTCATGTGGCCGTAGAAGTGCTACTGACCACTTTGTTTGTTAATTCAGTAAGGTTAGAGAAATTCATGGGATAGTCAATATTGTGCTGTAATTAAAAATTAGCCTTGCTCAAATGTATATATAATTACCATCAATTGGAGGATAAAGATTCAGTTAATCTTAGTTGCCCAGTGAATATCAATTAACTATTGTAGTGAATTGTTGCAAGTAATAGACTAGCGAAACTAGCCCCCGTCAGCCTCACGGCTCGTGAGGAGATTAAAATTCAGTATGGACCGAGCAGCAACAGCAAAGGGGTCCTCTCCCTGAGGTCAAGGTCACAACATCTGGGCCAAAGACATTGCAGAGGTTAAGGTAACAGTCTTGTAAGTTTTAAGTACAGTACTAGTAATTTCAAAATAGCCTCATTGCCTCTCAAGGTAGGAAGATTTTCAGTTAGGGAATGTGCATTTGTTCATTTATAACTAATTGTTTTTAAATAAATTGAATTAGTCATTCGTGTCTAATGAATTCCCGAATTTTATCCGGATTGTTCAGGTCTTTAGATCCTGGGCTTGGTAGGATAACCCCACGTACTTTCTGTAAGCTTCCTTATCGTTTCAATAGATTTTTTCCTTGTTAATTTTGTTAAGCCACATTTAAAGTAACTTCATCTCTCCTATTCATAATTGTGGACTCCCATTTGGGGATCATATCTAATTAACTGTTTCCTGTTTCACAGTCAGTTAGGTGGGATTAATTCAGCAAGGAATTGGAAACAGGTGGTGGCAGGTTGCTAGTAACGGAAGGTACAACGGTCTTGTCTTGGGGTGCCAAGGGGCCAGATTCACGAAGCAGTTACGCAAGTGCTTACGAATGTGTACATCTTTCCTCAATCTTTGATGGCTTTGGTTACATTTATTCAACATTTTGCAAGCTTGAAAACTTCCCAATCAACTGTTATTGTTATAAACAGCCTCCTGGTGATTCAGAGCTCATTAACCGTTTAATAATTGTAAACACAGCCGCCAAAGATTGAGAAAAGACGTACAAGTTCGTATTGGCTTGCGTAACTGCTTCGTGAATCTGGCCCAAGGCAATCAAATGCCAGAGGTTACGAGATTGCTGGGTTGAAGTTTACAGCAGGTACTCTAAGGAACTTCAGGACAGTTAATTAAAAATCAGCATTTAATCAATTAAAGTGAGGTTAAAGGCTGACCCCCCCAGAAAGAGGCATATCATTCAATTTTTTTTTTATGATGTAACGTACCTAAATACGTGATGTTTTAATTGATGTTTAGGTTAAAGAATGTGTTTGTTAATGTAACATGTATTTCCCTTACCTTTAATATATTACAGGTGGAAAATATCAGTTACTTAATTTGATGTATTTTCTCCACAGACCCTGGTGGATATCATTAACAGTAGTTCAGAAGACTCCCTACGTGAGGGTGCTATTGAGCTTTGCCATACTCTTCTATCAAATCCAGCTGTAGCACCTCTTGTTACTCACTCAGCTCATCATTGCCTCTCCCTCACTAAGGGACTCATAAACTGGTTAATTGAGGGCCATAAAAGTGACTTAGATGTGACGTTGACTCTGATGGCATCATTGGAAGTTGGCACCCATTTACGGATTCAGCCAGATAGATCAAGTGCTCTGCTGTCTGTTGTAGATCATCTACTTTTACCTCATGCTAGACTAAATGTTGCCTTGAAAAGTGATGAAAGAGAAATTGTGCAAAAACTACTGAAGGAAATTAAATTACTGGTATTTGAAAATATACTTCATTACAAGCTGGTGAATCAATTTACCACAACTTTAAGCAATTTGTTTTCTGAGGAAACGAAGGTATCCTTAGATACAGTTGTAGAAAAGTTATTAATGTCTATTGTTTCAGCTATTAAGACTGAAGTAGAAGTTAGCCAGTATCTATTAGCTGAATTCATTACCGAGTTTGTAGTGCGAATAAAAAATAAAGTACTTCACTATCAAATGTTAATTGTGGCTTGTCATATGTTAGATGTGCCTTGGCCAGAGTCTAAAAAGATCCCTTCACTAGAAAAAAACAGTCTTATTGGCCAGAAACTAAAGCCATCATGCCTTGCCAAGGAAAAACAAGAGGCGCTCTTGTATTCTGTTTTGAGTGCAGCTGAGTCGACTTCCATTGATCTGACAGTAAATGTGAAAGGCATGAGCTTAAAGACATGGCTGGAAAATTTAGGTGAAGTGTTGATGAAGACTACACCTGAAACTACTGAAGGATACCTATGTCATCGCACACTGCTAAAAATGATTCCACAATTTATGAGTGGACTAGTAATGAAAAATTTATGGATTCTTTATTGCTACAAGAAGGTCCCTCATGTAACAAGAGCCAGTAAGGTTCTGTATGCGGCATACGATGACCTCTTGTGTGATGTTTTAGCAGTGTGTGTCAGTTTGAGAAATATTGACAATACATTAAGGAGAATTTTGTCTGGCTTGAGGGAGGATACTGCATCTTTGAAGAACCAACAGATAATACCAGATTCTCTCCTTGTGTATGAAGGACAGCTGCTACTTCCTCCCAGGTGTGTATACTGCGTCTGGCATTGTTAAAGTTCTACACAAGATTTATATAATAGCATCATGCACATCTATTAATTTAATTGTAATGTACTTTTTGATTTTCATTTTTTCTATTTCTCTTTTATTCATATTCTGAGTATGTTTTGTACATTAATTTGAGTATCACATATGCTAAACTGAAACTAGTAGAAAAGGAATTACTAGGTTCCTGCAACAGCGTCATCATGGATGTCACATAATGTGCCTGGTATGCTCTGAAAAGTGTTGTCAGCAGTCACCTGTCAGCTGGCTGGCAGCTGGATATAGTCATGGAGTCACCAACTGCCTCTGGTTGCTTGTATTAATGCTTTCTTGCCTTTTCTAAATTCATTTGACATTGCATGCAATGCTTAGAGATAGGCTTCTTGAATGCAAGAGCATTGAATTGATAGATTAGTTTAATACGGCTGCTAAATAACGAAGTACGGACACAGAGTGCAGACCTGCTTTAAACAAAGACTTGAGTCATTTACAGACTTGTGCACACACAGGCCAGGACGTGTGGAGAGTTACCAGTGAGCATCGGACAAATATAAATTAACACAATACAAATAATTTTTTATATAAGCCAGAGGTGTTTTAGAGCCACGTATACTAGACTCCGGACCACCTGGTCAGGAGGCCGCATGTACGTGTAGACATAATAGCATAATGGGCCATACCTTTTGCACCAAAGCGTTGCCATATTATTGAAGTATTTTTTAGATATGTTTTACTTTGTATCGATTTCTGTCAATACTTTTGGCCAATTTCAGTAACTCGGGCCTCTTTAACCCCTGCACTGCACACCTGTTTTTAGCAAAAACTTCATAGTGCAATTGTTAAGGACATATTTTTGTTGTTTTTATAAATGTTCAGGTAAAGTTAATGTCAAAAGGTTTCCAAACTCAACTATTTTCATTTCAAAACAGTGATGAAAACATTAAAAATCATTAAAATATAGCCTAAGTAAAAAAAAAAAAAAAACACACAACTCTCAAAACGACATTTGTTGTTTGGCGCAGTGCAGTGGTTAAGTAAACATGTACAGAATTGGGATGGATTTTCTGTCTTAAAACTAATGTTTTTGTGGGTGGGAGAGTACTCCTTGATATCCAAACTAATTTAGTTTGACAGCCCTGACCATTTTGGAAAACAAGTTGGCAACTCGTAACAAATTTTTGTATTTTCTATGTAGGTTTTGGTTTGCCACACTTAACATAAATTTGATTTCATGTATGGAACATTATTCGTCGTACGTTAATTTTGAGTTTGTTTTAAAAGGGCCTTGTTCTCGCCAGATTTATGCTGTCAATGATGAAGGCTATAGCTGATCTGGGTCATTCTCAGGTGTTACCAGTTTGGAAAACAACACTACATTTTTTCACAAAAGAATGTGCCTTACTTCTTAAAGGTGAAAGTAAGTCAAACTTTAACATTAGTTGTACGTGTCATTCAAATATGTATTATCATGATAGAGCTGAAGTTAATGTAAAATTGGGCAACTCAAATCTTGGATGACTGTGATTGTAGAAGAGATAGTGTGTGTGTGAAGATCTTGTACTACAATGTAAGATTAAATGTCTATATACAGTACTACATATTATAGTAAACCAGCATTATATATATTCATTGTTTTTGATGATATTTGAAAGTGCAGTAATTCATATTTGCAGCTGATGCAGGTGCCTTGAAATTTGTGAGTATTGTGGTATGGCTGTTGTCGTGCATCATGAAGGCTAGCCCTGTTGTGCAAGTTGTCTCGGTGGCAGGAGTTGCACAAAATTTTGCAGGCATCATGAAACAGATTGCACTTCATGGAATCAAGCCACTTGTTACTGCCATGCTTACTCAACCCCATGTGAGTATCGAAAATTTGTGGATCAAATTTTTAGTTTTAATTTTGATGGAAGTGGACTCTACAGTTATTGTACTGAAGCTGAATTAGAATTATTCTGATTATTAATAAGTTTTGCTTACAGTACAGGTACACAGGAAATGAAAATAATTAGCTGAAGGCCAATGTTTTTTTATCAGGTACTGTACTTTGTATGTTTAATTCATTTACCTGGGTAATGAATGAGGCTGGACTATCAGGAGAGTATTTATGAGAACAATATTTCTGGGATGCCTCTCAATAGCACTAGCTGTTACCATACAAACCATCCAACACCAAATGCTGTATGTGTAAGACACTACTTATTGGGGACAAGGGCCTTTGATCTTTCCCTCCATTCTGAAGCAGGGGACCACACAAGATTAGAGAATGCATCTCAAAAACAATAAAAGGGAGATACAGTATAAGACGCTTTAACTCTCCTCATGCCCGTTTTTGAAAGTTACTGAACTAACAAATTATTGTTACCGTCTCAAAGCTCTCAAAATGTACTCTCTGGAAAGGAGAGGAGAGAGGTATCACATAATGTATACATAGAAGATATTGAGAAAACCAGATTTAAAATATATGCAGTAAAATAACAAAGTACTAGAGCAAACGATATGATAAAAAATGCAGAAGAGAGCCAGTGAAGAGTAAAGGTGATATAGGCACAGAGGTCCCCAGCTGTTCAGTATCTTCCCCTACATAATCGTAGTGGCTTGGCACTTCCCCCTAAAATTCCCTCGGTATCTTCCCAGCAAGCATACCGTAAAAAATATTGCGAGAACAAAAATTGACTTTCAAGAAAAAAAAAGACAATTTTCTTGCAGGGAGTGCCTGACCAACTGGGTTGTAGTGGATACGTGGGCTTGCACACCTCTTGAAGCAACAGTCTGGTGGAGTAAGCTATCACAAGTGAAGCCTTGCCCCAGGCTGGGCTTGGGGGAGTAAACAAACTCCAGAGCCCACTTGAGGTATGATCAAAGTATGACTTGGTGGCATGCATGGGTTCTGTCACAGTGATTCCTTTGGCAAACTTCTGTTTGCCATGTTTCACTCTTTTCTCCCTTAAATAAAGATACAGGGTTTGTTTTGCTTCACCTGTACTTTTGGGGCAATTTGACTCGGTTTTAGATGAATCTTGGATTTGTACACATCTCTTGCCTCTATGAGTGAACTAGATTCTGTTCCTAGTGTTTTGTAGGCTTCCACAAGTCCAGAGGCTTGGTGTCATTGTGAGTGCTTGTGATACCTGAGCTAATGCACTGGGGCCAGATTCACAAAGCAGTTACGCAAGTACTTGCGAACGTGTACATCTTTCCTCAATCTTTGATGGCTTTGGTTACATTTATTAAACAGTTTACAAGCATGGAAGCTTCCCAATCAACTGTTGTTATTGTTATAAACAGCCTCCTGGTGCTTCGGAGCTCATTAACTGTTTAACAATTGTAAACAAAGCCGCCAAAGATTGAGAAAAGATGTACGGGTTCGTAAGTGCTTGAGTAACTGCTTCGTGAATCTAGCTCCCCTTAGAGCTACTAAGGCTTTCCAAAAGTGGGCATTTCATTACATATAATGCATCTATACTATAGGCATGTATTGGGTACCGTATAGTAAACAAAATAAACACTACAATTATGGGAGTTTAGTAACTTTGGTAGTAATTTTTAGAACCAATTTTTTTTATAGGAAGGGTGGAGGGTTTTTTTCTTATTAGTTAATATGTATCCCAAGATAAGCTGGAAAGGTTAGGGATACCTTCTTAAGTCTCTTAAGAAAATCTTGTATATTTTGTTAGTAAATTAAACCCATTTAATTATGGTTTTTCTCTTTGCAGAATAATGATGTATGTGGAAGTATCCTTGTCTTATGCCACACTTGGGGTGAAATTCATACCAACCTTCTCTCAATTGATAAGGGGTAGGTATTCCTTGATTATATGGGATTAAGTATAATTTTTAATTCCATTAACAGCAAAATATTTTGAGAAGAACTATTTAGTTGAGTATTAGGTAAGAGACAACTTAATCCATTTTTAATACTCACTTCCATAGAATACTTTAATACCTTTACTATCCCCCCCACCTCTGCTGTCCCATCCTTACTGTCCCCCACCTCTGCTGTCCCATCCTTACTGTCCCCCACCTCTGCTGTCCCCACTTCTGCTCTCTCCACCTTTACTGTCCCACACCTTTGCTGTCCCCATTGTGGTCTTGGTTATGTGGTTTATACTGGTTTTTAACCCTTTTGTTTCAATCACAATTTTTTATTAAGATTTAATTAGGAGAAAACACACATTTGGTATTTAATGTATACGGTGTTTACGGGGGGAAAATTCACTGCCATGCTAAACTAGACCTCAGTCATTAGCCACATTATTCCATATATTATACCATATCAGTATTACGGAAAATTAGTGGACTAATATTTTTGGTGTGTTGTAAACCCACTCTGGCCAACTCTAATTTTGTTTTAATTCTCATCTCTCAGGTATTCTGAATTGCCAGATTTACCCAAGATTCACCCACCGAAACCAAGTGAACCTACGGACTTCTCACATCTTCTTCCCTTTATTTCACGAGAGGAATGGGCCCAGATATCTGCTAGGGTAGCCAACTTTGGAAATCGGCCGACGCAGTTAGCATTAGTAGGTTTTATATAGATATTTCTTACAAACATTCTGTAAATATATATGATGTTTCTAAATTATGTGGTACCTTACTATGCATTTTCAGTGTTAAGAACACCTTGTTCCCAGACTCATTGGGAGTTCATCCTTAGGGTTTGCCTAGATTTGCTGTTTCCCTTCAGGTACACTTCTGGGTGTGCAGCTACTCTGCTGTGGGGGCTTTGTCTCTATATTTTTGGTATGGAATTTAATGTGGATTTTTTTTTCTCATTGCTGAAGCATAAACAGAACTAGAACAGAGGAGAATTATGGTTAACAACTGAGTAGTCATGAGTCACAAAAAAACTTTTCATACACACACATGATAAATGTTTCAAGTGAATGTACTACCTTAGCAAGTACACAACATAAGCCTACTGCCATCTGGTGGTAGTCAGAAGTAGAGGGCAGGTAAGCAAACTGGCTGGCTGTGAAAACTTTACTTTGCAGCCTTGTCATGTCAAATTGGGCTTTGACACTGTGTTTGTGTGAATTTTCTGTGGTCACTCTGGCCTGGATTGGCTTTTCCTAGTGCCACTAGTGTAACCTGACTATAAACATTTGAAAAGAACTGTGTTGCTCTGGAGCAGAATGTCATCCTACACCGACTGCCACAATGCTTTCCATTGGGACCATCAGGAGCATCTGTGTGTCTTGTACAGAAAGAAGCTTTTCACATATTCCAATCATAATATTTTTTGTTTTAAATTTGGATTTTGGGAGTTTATGGACATTCTTAGTGTGATTTTTTTTGTGCTTTATATAAAACAATAGTAAAACTTTTGCTATTATATCTGGCATCATGGCTGTGTAAATTTGGATGCAAGAATTTATTTAATTGAACCAAGAAACAGTATGCTGCTTGCAAAGGATTTATTCTTTATTTCTATATACATACATACAATTTTCAGGTGCAGCTAGTCCTTCAGAAGTTCAGTCAAGCTGCTCTTGAACATCACAGAAGCTTTATACATTTGGGTACAGTGTGCAACCAACCCAACCAGAATCCCACTAGTCAAGCATTGGAAGCCATGACCAAGTATCTCATGAACACCATGGGCTCTATGGGTAGCAATGTATCTCAGTTAATGACTGTTCATCTTGCTTATATACTGCCCTTCATCCATGATAGTCATCTGCCAGTTATTGCAAGGTTAGTTTAGTCTATTTGATTAAAAGTAATTAATGTGCCTAATGTGAACACTGCCTTAAATGTTTGTCCAAAATGTTTCCTGTAATGCCTTAACCACTGCACTGCATTAAAATACGACACACCCATGGTGCGCCGAAAATAAATTCTTTCCAAAAAATTATTTTCTCTTATATTGTTAAAATGCAGTCTCTGATCATGGGAAACTAAAAAATAATTGTACGTGACATACTTTAGCCACGATGAAGCTGGGAAGTTCAGCATACAGTATTATGGGGGCTGAACGATGGAACGCTCAAGGTCACTAGGCCCCGCCACCCCATGGGGTGGCAGTTACCGTGAATATAATGTTTCATAATTATTTTGATGTTTCTCATTCGCTTCTTCTCTGGTTTTATGCTGTAATATTATTCAAATGTGTGTAATTTGTGGAATATATATAGTTCAATGCGTAGAACATCGCTATGCTCAAAATTATGGAGCTCATATATGTGACATGTATATTATATTCTATGATCGATCAGTGTTTTTGCTGTTATTATGCTATATACACACACACTATATATACCTATCTACATTTGTGTTCACCATAAGGAACCACTAAGTTGGTATGGTGAGCCCAAAAAACAAGAGTGGGCTGCCACACCCAGCCAGACCTCCCTCACTCCTTCAACACCTAACTTGCCAACAGTATTCCTCCCACAATACAGTTTGTAGTGTTATTACACTATATACACACGTTATATATAGGTATCTACAAGTTTTATTTACCATAACTATACAAATAAGTTGGTATGGTGTCTAAACAGTACAGTAGCCACTTCATGACAAGTCACACAGCAGACAACAGCCTCACTCACTCCCTCATCTTAATGGCTCCTCCCAACATAAGCCTTTTGCTGTTATTACACTTTATACACACATTATATATAAGTATCTACATTTGTGTTCACCATAGGGAACCACTAAGCTGGTATGGTGATTCCAGACAATAACATGTTGCCACACACCAGCCAGCAGCTAATGCCACCCCTCCCTCCCTCTCTCCCTCGCTCACCAACAGTACTCCTTACACCGCTAATTCACATCGCTAATTCTCACCACAATCTTGCTATTATCAGAATTCTGGTCACTTAATCATGTAAATGAATAATTTTCCACACGTTTATTTTGTAAAGGAACATGAGAAATCGTTTGAAGAATTTTAGATGGATGAAATAAGGACAGTGTACTGTGGCTAGAGCTGTGAACATTTTGAACAGCATTTATTCACTGATATCTGAACATTGTACAGTCTTTCTCACAGTCAGGCTCTTCTGTAATACTATCATGGCTAAATAATACCAAATGCATATGGTTGACCAAACCACACACTAGAAAGTGGGGTCTCCTCAAGGCGTGTTGCGCAGTGCAGTGGTTAAATGCATGTCCAAAGAGTTTGCTGTGCTAGGGCACTCGGTAGCTTCCTGGTGCTCAACTCTAGGACGATGTAATTCTCTTGGCTCCAGCTATCATCTAGTCATTTTGTATTTTTATTTTTTACAAATTTCCTCTTTCCAAATAATTTAAAAAATAAATACAAATCTATATACAACACTTCTTTGATTTCTTTGGATATACAGAATTTAAAATTAATTCAATTCTGGTATTAATATCAGTTCTTAAAATTTTCATAAAAAGAGTTACATCATAATTTTAAATTTTCTGGTAGGACTCGGGTAAACATAAAATGTAAGGAGTGAATGAAGAAAAATGCCAAAAATAGTCTTAAACATAATATTTTTAATAAGTATATTTTTGCATGCTGCCACATGGTGCGAAATTCTTCTGATTAATGATTTTTAAAATACCGTATCATGGTATTATAGAAATATATAAGCAAAAGCCAATTTCCTTGAGTTTATGTACTCATTTCAATATGTACTCATTTTAATTCATTAATACCCTCAAAGCTATAAGAACATAAGAGTCAAGGTAACTGCAGAAGGCCTATTGGCCCATACAAGGTAGCTCTTATATTTTGTTGTAATATATTTTTCTTGTTTTAGGTACTTGGTAAAGGGAATAAAAGACGGTGAATTAGCTTGGCAGGAATATGTTAGAAGTGAACAGTTTCATGAGGCCAGCAGACTTCATCCGTACATCTTCTCCTCCATATGTTCCACTCTGGCCAATACATCTGGTCAACGGACATTTTCGGACCTGGAAGAAACAACAGCAACTAATATAATGTATTGCATTGAACTCTGGAAGAAGATGAAAAAAATTGGCCCACTACTTATTGAATTTGGCAGTGATAAAGATGAAAATAATGCCTTATGGAAAAAATTGAAAGAATGTGGTGATATTCTGAAAAAACTTGTAGAAAATGAAAGTACTTGTTTGAACAAACCGATTGTTAGAAGTTCCATGGATATAAATGTGATGATTGAGTTGATTGGAAATTTCCCTCTTTCCTATCTAAGTAAAGGGCTCCAAACTGCCATCCTATTGATGCTTTTTGTATCATTGATACATGAAGATCTTGAGAGTAAAGACACAAATCTATCACCAATCTTGCATATTATAAATCAAACATTGTGTTCAAACTGTCAACTTAGAATATTCCGCGTGACAAATGCTAGTTCCCTCTTACAGTGGCTTATCAAGAAGAGATGTGATTTTCCATTTTCCATTATTACACAGCATATGGCTAACCTCACTCGGTCACTGTTGACGAAAGATGCCAAGACCTGCTATGCTAACTTACCAGAAGAACAACCAAAATCTAGGTTAACAGCTCAGGCGCTGGTAGGCCAGAGTTTCGACCAGCTCTTGAGTGCTCTTCTGTACACGTTGACAGGTGCTGCTAGCAGTGCAGATCACGTAAAAGAAGTGGCAAGATTCGTCATTTCGGAAGCAGCCTCGGATGCCGAACTCTTCTTGCAACCAGCTGTTTTTCTTATGGCAGCTTGCTATAAGGTACTACTTTAAGTAATTCATTTGTATTAGTGTCTGCATGAAGGAAGGCTAATGCCAACTCTTTATGTATGGATTCAGAATAACAGTATGACATCAATTTTGAAAATAAAGAATTAGATCAGTAGAAATAGGCTATCTATGAACCATGTGTGGTATCAAGAAAATAAGAGCAAGGAATTAAATGTTACTGAGAGATGTGGAGTGTAAATGTTACTAAACTGCATTAATGAGGAGTGTACCAAGATACTTTAGACATACTGAATAAATGGATGATTGTAGACTGATGAAGAGTGTATTTGAGGAAAGGGAGGCTGCGAAGATGATGGGCAGAAATGGTGAATGTATGATGAAGTAAGAATCGTGTGTGAGCAATGCGCAGGATATGATAAGGGACAAGACTGGATGGAAACGTTTTGTAACGAGGAAGTGAAAGTCTCTTTACTATATATGTTATTTCATAAAGAGCACTGCACATCTGGTCACTCAAATTTGTGGGGTTCTGCTGTGGGGTGACGGCTGGGGTGTGCTTCTCTGAGGCCAGAGAAGCGTCTGTCCTGGTTGACATTAGCTTACGAACTGGTGCTAGGAAATTTCCAAAGTAATTATTGAATTCCATTTGCCACTTGACATTCCAAGCTCTTATTTTATCCAGATGAATTTGAAGGGCATTACAATTGGCTGCATCTCCTATCTTCCCCAGTATCTTAGCATCATCTGCAAACATGTTCATATAATTCTGTATTCCTTCTGGTAGATTGTTTATGTAGACGATGAACATTACTGGTGCAAGAACGGAACCCTGTGGTACTCTGCTAGTAACATTCCTCCAGTCAGATACATTGTCTCTGATTACTGCCCTCATCTGTCTGTCAGTTTGTTTTTCATCAATGTCAGAAGTCTCCCTGTCACTCCTCCAGCATGTTCCAGTTTCTAGAACAGCCTCTTGATCCAGTACTGATGGAACATCCCTTTCTCCTCATTCTTGAGGCCTGCTTGAAGTGTTGATACATGAATGTCTCCAGAATGAGGTTTAAAAATCTGCCTGTTCAAATGTCCTCTGTTCTTGCTTCATAGGCCTCCCAGTCTATTGCTTTAAAGTTATTCCCCCAGTACCAACACTCATGATTTATCTTTATCTACTTTTACTATAATCTCTCTCATGACCATTATGAGGCCCTCTCATTTCTTATCCAGTTCCTTCTTTGTCCATGTGTTGCTTGCTAGTGGGCTGTGTGTAATTACTTAAGTATAATTACTTAGTGTAGTTACAGGATGAGAGCTATGCCTGTGGTGTCGTGGAGATAAATACATTTTATATTATATATATTATATATCTGTGTGTGTAAGATGAGCTAAGAAATAAATGAGTTTCTAGAAGCAGGCTTCAGATGAGCTGAGGTAGGATAACAGTTCTAGCTTAGTTTCACTGTCAATATCATTTGACAGCTTTATGAACCCTAGGCTTAGTTATAAAAGAAATGTAAATTATATTTTCTATTACAGAATATCAAATTTTGTAAGAAAACACTGATGTTCCTATCCACCTGGATCCTGCGGGAATTGAGAAAGATGGATCTTGCTACTACTGCTCCTCCCACAGCTGCCGCCATCCTCACTGCTCACACTATCATTGTCTTGGTCAAAACTCATGATTCTACACGGAAAAAGCCACATAACAATTCCTTAATTTCAGAAAGTGCTACAGAGATTGATCATGAAACTCAAATGGAAATCGATGAAGATCCCCCAAATTTGGAAGACAGTTGTAACCATGAACAAGGAAAAAAGATCCATAAGTGGCAAAAACTCTTAGGCAATACCTGCCACTTGGCAAAACTGTGTCTCTCTAGTAGTCACCAGGAGTTGCAGGAGTATGCCCTTAAATTTCTCTTCACAGTATTGCAGCATTCTGATGTTTTGCAAGCTTACCTTCCACCTCATCTCTTTAGTACTACATGGACAGCCTTGTCTGGTGTTGATAGCTTACACATGGTCATTGATGCTCTTCCACATACTAAATTATCCATAGATCCACTGTTATCGAGGGCTTCCCCTGATGACTATGAGAAGATACTTCAGGATCTACTGAAATGCACACAGTCAGGAACCACAGATTTAACTCACACACTTAGGCTTTGGCAAGTTGTAATTTTCTCTAAAGTGGTCGGAGTCAATGGAGCTCTGAAACGTGTGGCTCTGGAGCACCTTATACCCATCCTTGGAAATCTAGTGACTATCCATGGAATGTCTGATAAGTGTGTGAGCCCACACCTTATCCCTATTTTGGAAACCCTGAGAGAACTAATCAATTTTGCCCTGAAATTTGAGGCACAGACTATAGCCCTTGTTCTCACACCCTGTACCACCATTCAATTTCATACACTGCCACCTGACCAGTTTAATCAGGTAAGTTATTACTAGCTAAAGCTTGGAATGAAATAAATATTTTACAATTTATAATAAAATATTCTCTTGTTTGAATAGAAAATCTGCACAATTATATTAATGTTGGTAATAAAATGTACCTTTTGAGAATTCAAGATAATAAATGGTTTGTACTGTATTGGGATTATCATCCATAAAATAAATTGTTCTTTACAGGCTTTTACGGCTGCTGTTGATATTGTCAACTGCATTTTGGTACGCTATCCAGGTGTAGTAATGGAACGCACCCCTTCAGTTCTGGCAACCATCACACACCTGGCAACATCTCTGATTGCTCAAGCTAGTCAAGAGTGTAAACTGGAAGAAGACCAAATAAAAGTAAGGTCTTTAAAGTTATTATGATGTCGTAGATAAGAGAGACTTGTCACATTTAACTGAGAATCTACATACTTGGGATGTAGATAATAGCATTTCGTTGCATATAATGATAAGTAAACTAGTATATTTGGAGGATTTTAAAGGCATGAGTTCTGTTATGAATGGTAAATTATAAGATGATTATTGCATAAGACAGATAAGACTTACGAGCTGGTAGAGCTCTAGGAATAACTGCATTTTTGCAAGTTTTTAGGAAAGTTTTACAATAGATGACTTTACATTTCACTGTACAGTATTTGAAAATTTACTTATAATAATAATATATAATAAGAACTCCATGACCTGACCAGGATTCGAAGCTGCATTACAGGGGCTCACCCTACTAGTGTACACAGTACTGATACCACTCAACATGTGAGATAGGCAATCACTGGTGGAGTGATATCACTACTACGTGTACACCAGTGGGGCGAGCCCTGGTAAAACAGGTTTGAATCCTGGTTGGGTCATAGTTCTTAGTGATATATTAAAAAATTAACCAACGTTACAGGTCATGGTAGGATGCGGCACCAATCTTGAGCATGTTGTAAAAGAACTGACTACATACAAAATCAAGCTCAACAAGATAGTTCACTTCACTATGGCTGCTATTGTGGGAGCTCTGCAGCTTACAACTGTGTATCCAGCTGTTAAGGTTGGTCATTGACACTTTCAGATATAAGCATGTGTTGAGTAGACTGTGTATTCAATTGTATATTTACATTTTTTGTGTGCATGTGAGAGTTTTAGCATATTTAATGCTTCTAACCTCTCCTCATAGCTCTTGTCTTTCTGTACTGGAAGCCACTTTGTGGCATGTCTTTGCACCTTTTCCAGTTTGTTGATGTGCTTCTTAAGATATGGGCACCATACAACCACTGCATATTAAGCTTTGGTCTAAAAAAAAGGCTTGAACAATTTCTTTAGTATTTAGCCATCCATGTATTTAAAAGGAATTCTGAAATTAGAAAGTGTAGCATAGGCTCCTTGCACATTGTTCGTTATGTGGTCCTCAGGTGATAGTTTTCTATCTAGAACCACTCCTAGATCTCTTTCTTTACCAGAAGTCTTTAAAGATTTCTCACATAATTTATAGGTTGTGTGGGGTCTATGTTCTCATATTCCACATTCCATAACATGGCATTTATTCACATTAAATTCCATTTGCCAAGTGGTGCTCCATATACTTATTTTGTCCAGGTCTTCTTGAAGGGCATGACAATCATCTAAGTTTATCCTCCCTATTATCTTAGCATTATCAGCAAACATGTTCATATAATTCTGTATTCCATCTGGTAGATCGTTTATGTAGACAATGAACATTACCGGTGCAAAAACTGACCCCTGTGGTACTCCACTTGTGACATTTCTCCAGTCCGATACATTGTCTTCGATTATTGCCCTCGGTTTTCTATCACTTAGAAAATTTTGCATCCATGCTAGAAGCTTACCTGTCACCCCTCCAATATGTTCCAGTTTCCAGAACAACCTCTTATGTATAACTTTGTCAAAAGCCTTTTTAGGTCCAGATAGATGCAGTCAACCCAACCATCTCTTTCCTGTAAAATCTCTGTGGCTCAATCATAGAAATCGAGTAAATTTGTTACAAAGGATCTTCCAGATCAAAAACCATATTAACTGTCGGATATTATATAGTTTTTCTCCAGGTGTTCTATCCATTTAATTTTAATTATTTTTTCCAATATTTTGACTATTACACTTATCAATGATACAGGTCTATAATTGAGGGGGTCTTCCCTGCTGCCACTTTTGTAGATTGGAACTATGTTAGCCTTTTTCCACACATGTGCTACAACTCCTGTACACAGGGATGTCTGAAAAATCAGCTGAAGTGGAATGCTGAACTCAGGTGCACATTCTCTCAGAATGAGAGAATGTGTGAGTGAGTAGTCTTGAGGAAGAGAGTGGGAAGGAATGGGAATCTTAAGCAGGGAAAGGAGGGAGGAGTTAAGGCACAATGAGTTACACCTTGTAAAATGTATTCAGCTAATTTTGAGTTTTGCCAGTACATTCATCTGCTGCATAAAGCACTTATGGAGTTTTGAATTCTAGGTAAGTTGTTTCTTCTGAATAGGGACAAGGGACGAGTCATTGAAAGATAGGGTATTAATTACTGTACTTGCTTCTTGAGAATTAATATAATTATGAGGAAATGGGGCAGCACTATTCCATCTATGTCATTTCACGTTTCGTCTGTTCTGTGATCAGGTAATCTTGGAGAGCATCGTGTACCGACTCCTGGACCTGTGCGACAGCCACTGTTTAAATCATCTTTTAGTGGCACTGCCTCCAGCCACAACAACATTTCTCAAGCATCTTCATAGCAATTATTCAACCTTCCATCGTTACAATCCTTTCAAAGCATAAAAAATACTGCTGCAGTAATATCAAGATGTAACGGGCAGACATTTTGGGAGCTGTATGCATCTCATTATACGGTAAGATGATGATTTATTGCTATTAAATGCTAAAGTAATAACTAAGACAATAAACAAGACAAATCTAGAAGTATATATAATTTAACATGTCCTTGGTGTTCTTTATTAATAGGTAATTGGAAGCATTATTTCGAATTGTATTGCTTAAAAAATATTTCACCTATGAGTTCATATTAAAAACATTTTGTATAAAAAAGTCTTACATGAAGAAAGAGAAAGTTCTTCAGACAGTTTAATATATATAACTAGTACCACCTCCCTCACTCACACCACCAAATACCATACATGGGTCAAAGCATGGTTTCATATTATTATATAAAGTTTTCTGAAAGTCTTTATATCTCAGTTACTGTACAATATAGTTGGTAAAAAAAAAGTATGCTTTATATTTATGAATTTAAAATCGGAATATAAAATATTACAGGTACAGTATTTTTATAAGTTATTGTATGGGTGAGTCCAGTGAGGCAGTACAGGATAAAATGATAAGTTACATTGAATCATTTCAAGTGGTATATGTACCTTCTAAATACACTAGTATATACATTTTCAGTAACAATAATTACTGTATATGAATTTAAATGTAGCATCAGAGACAGAATGGGGGGAAGGGGGGGAATAATAATGCAGCCTCTAGTGTATTATGCAGTATTGGAACTGCATGTCTAAGGTTGACAGTATCGCTGGAAGCACGGTAGTGGGAATTGAAACAATGTAATGGAAACAGTCTTGAAAAGCCAGATGAATATTAATAAGCTTTATTTCAATTTTATCAGTTTGCGTACTATTATTGGAAAGTTGTTTGATATCTGTTGTAATGATTTACTGAACTATGTTGTGTACAGTACTTGTTTTTCAAGTTCACTTTAATCCTTTAATCCAGTCCATCCTTTGGTAGTTGAAATTCAACATTGGCTGTTTCTTATCTCCAGTAGATTTAAGACAGTGGAATTTCGCTGGATTCCCACCCATATTGGTGTGTTCTTAAATGAGCGTGCGGACACTGCCGCTAAGGAAGCTATCCGCACCTGTCCCATCTCCCGTAAAGGTATTCCTTATTATGACTTTTACCCAGTTATTCATTTCCCCATTCTTGCCCGTTGTCAGGGTTGTTGGTCTTCTGTTACTGGTAACAAACTGCGTGCTCTTAAGAGTAGTGTGTTCCCATGGCCTTCCTCCTACCACCGTAACCGGTGGTGGGAAATGGCTCTGGCAAGGTTGTATATTGGTCATACACGTTTAACTCACGGGCACTTAATGGAGCGCTGCCCTGCTTCTTATTGTCCAAACCGTTGTCTCTACATGTCCTGACTTCCAGGACTTACGTGTCTTGCTTCCCAACCATCCCTCGCTGTCAATTGTCCCTCGATAAAATTCTTGGTAAATTCAATACCTTTGATATTGTTCGCCGTATGCATTTTTGTTCTTGTATTGGCGACGTTAGTGATATTTAGCGCACTATGATTATCCCACACATTCGATGGTTTGATAATTACTGTACTGTACAGTACTTTGGTTTGGAATGTATCAAATAAAGTTGTTTCATGTATTCAAATGTGTGAGAAAATCCACTGGGGCTGTGAGATGAAGCGAACCTGTAACAAAGGCATTGCCAGTTGCATACTCTACCACCACTGATGGTAAAAGTCTTACAACTGGATATCTTGTGTGACAGGTTATGGTATCACAGCTATACTGAACCAAGATGGTATGGCTCTCCCTCACATAAATGAAAGAAATGCTGCTATTGGCCTTGCAGTGTGTAAGTTGCAGGTGGAAACAAATGAAAATTATCAAATAAATAATTAAACAATTTACTGAAATAGTAATGAACAAAAATAACACATGACAATACTTGACTATCATGTAATGCAAAGGTGAACAAGTTAGTATGACCTTAAATGCAAAAAATAAACTATAAGCAATGAATAAAAGTATGAAGACTGGTGTTCTGAAGACAGCTACCATACCACCATGGCATCAGTCACAAGACGTTGGCTGGAAGCGGACGACGGGTTAGACACACGAAGGTGATCCTAGAGCACTAAGGGAGAGATTGCCTCTCCAGGGAGGCAGCGCTCTTTATATAGTCCGGCGGTGATGACTCATCCAGTGTCAACACGAGGTGGACATCTGGTCAACTAGCAAACTGCTCGTTGTGGCTGGCGGTACCTTTGTGTTGAGCTGTACCACTGTCAGTTGAAGGCGGCTAACTGCTTGTTTGTGGGGACAAACTGCCAGTTAGCAGTGGCGCCCGGCTTGCCTCTGAGTCGTACCAGGCCGTGCCAGGCCCTGGGGGGTATGGAGAGGTGGCAGGACTGATGACTCTTCTGGGCTGGTGTAGATGTATAATACTTCAGTGCAGAGGCATTGAAGGTGAAGGGAAAAGGCAGTTCCACTGCTATGCAGGGGATTCACGTGACACTTGTGAAGCCACAGAAAGTCTGGAGGCCCTACTGAAGCCAGTCCAAGTATTAAATAAAACCCCTGAAGTACGCCGGTGAAGGGTAAAGTGAAGGGTGAAGCAAGACCGTATGCCCCAACTTCAGGCACACACAGAAAATCACGTTTTGGTCCCGCCTCTCAACTGTGTATTTGAAGTTGGGGCGTATGGTGTTGAACTGCTTCAGCCTTCACCAGAGTGCTTGTAGGTCTTACGTAAGACGTTGACTCAAGGAGTGGCCTCAAAACTTGCTGTGATTTATGGGGAAATCCGGTTGTAAGACTTTTACAAAGTCAGTAATATACTGTGGTAGAGTATGCAGCTGCCAGTGCCTTGGGCAAGGGTTTACGTCGCCTCACAGCTCCAGTGGATTTTCTGCTTGGTGTATATCGGGTTGTGATTTTGTGTGTGTACCGTATTGTTATGATCACCGTCTGATAAGTCCTTTCTGGCCTCAAGAGTCATTGTTACCCACCTAGAAAGATTGCAGATGGCCAAAGCAGTTTTTTAAGTTAAGAAGGGACAAGTCTTAAACAGAATTTTGCATAATATTTGACTGTAAAGGGGTAAATTGAGGTAGATTGAAAAATTTTTGATTTTTGAACCCAGATTTTGCTGGGTTCCCAGCCATATTGGTGTTTCAATGAGCGTGCGGATGCTGCCGCTAAGGAAGCTATCCGTTCTTGTCCCATCTCCCGTAAAGGTATTCCTTATTCCGACTTTTATCCTTCCCCGTTGGCAGGGTTGTTGGTCCTCTGTGGTTGGTAACAAGCTGCGTACTCTCAAACTTAGTGTGTCCCCGTGGCCTTCCTCCTACCACCGTAACCGGCGGTGGGACACTGCTTTGGCACGGCTGTGGGTTGGTCATACCCGCTTAACCCACGGTCACTTAATGGAGCGCCGCCCAGCTCCTTATTGTCCGAATTGCGTTGTCCCTCTTACAGTTGTGCATATCCTTGTTGAATGTCCTGACTTCCAGGACGAGCGTGTGTCTTGCTTTCCGACCGTCCCTCGCAGTCACTTGTCCCTCGATAGAATTCTAGGTGAATCGGATACTTTTGATATCGTTTGCCTTATGTGTTTTTGTTCTCGTATTGGCATTCTTGGTGGTATTTGGCACCCTCTGATTATTTCGCACTTTGATGGTGCTACATGGCCTTCCCGGTTTGGTGCCTTCTTTTGGTAATTACCTTACCTTCATTGTTGTTTCATTTTAATGTGGTAGTTGTGATATGGATTGTTCTGGCTCACGTGCAAGGTCTTGTATTTTTTTCTATTTTATATTAAGAAATTGCCAGTCTTGTTACTATTTGTAGAGTAAGAGATCTGCATTAAGGCCTCAATATTATATTTTTTTTTTTTTATAACATATCAGCAATTTTTGTGGTTGGTAATATTTAGATTAATGTTAGTGATGTATGACAAGGGTTAAGACCCCTTGTGGTATGACAGCATTTTTCCCAGTCATTTCTTTAACAAATGAAAGGGTCCTCGTAACTATTTTTTGTCCTTTCTACCATGTACCTGTTTGTTGCTTCTTGGTCTTTCATTTGGTACTTTGGCTATTAAAACAATGGCCTTTGGGAATGTTGCAATTACCATTTCTAAAAAAAAAAAGAGCAGGTTCATTAGGCAGGGTTTGTTTTTAGCAAACAGTTTTACAAAAAAAATTCCATTCCTTCAGGACCTTGCAGATGTTAGGTCAAACTAATTGACAGTAATCTGTTTTACCCTTTCAAACAATGATGGTTTTAATCTAGGTAAAATATTTCAGAATATCTGAAGAGTTTGGCAGAAATCATTTAAGAGCTTTGATTAAATTTAAGTTACCAAAGACTGTGAAAACCATGTTGTATAGATGCTTCAGTGTCACTTTTCTAATGTTTTGTAAATTTAACAATGATCTTTAGTTAATTTAATCATAATTTGTACAAAGCTTAGGTGTTGCATAGCTTTAAATTTACTTTCAAATATGAAAACTAAAATATTAAAGTGGAAGAAACTTTAGTCAATATTTCGGACTAATTTGCAATATTTGTTAATGTAAATTGAATAGGTAGTCCACTTTTACATCTTTTCAATGCATTTTGCATGCACCTATGTAACAAGTTACAAATTTTACCAAGTTTTTATTTTCAAAGTAAAAAAATTTCAAATGTTTAAACATTGCATCAATAGTAGTAAACAATTTCCAGGATAAGGTATATAAAGTAGTTTCATTAAAATTGTTTTATTTAATAAGTTTTACATATAGTATTTATAATACATCTAATTATTAATGTTTCAGGTTGTGGGACAGATGCTCCTAGATGAACAGAAGATCCAAAAGGCCAAGACAACTCCAGAGACAATCACCTGTAAAAGAAAAATAAACATTAAACAGGGACACTACTTTTATTATCACCAATGCCTAATAATAAGCCAAAAAAATCCTAACACCCAATCTTTTAAGATTGGCTCAGCAAGGCCTATCCCTTCCTCTGATTTCAGTGCAGAGCTTGTTCCCTGAATGGGTGCATTACATCCACCACTTTAATGCCATCAACACATTGTACTTATGCTTTACTGTACAATGCATGCCAGGCACTAAAGTGGTGGATGCATCTACCCATTCAGCAAACAAGCCCTGTGAGAATTAACAATGTAACCATTGTTAAGGGTCCCTAAACCTATGCAAATCTAGTCCATCTATTAGATGGGTAGTAGAGCAAAGCTCTGAAAAAGCCAAGCCAGGGAAATCTGCAAGACTGCCTGGTCCCCTTTTATGAAATGGGGTAGGATCAGTACAAACTGCATCATCCCCTGTGGGTTGTAACAGTAGGACATGGTTACACACCTATAAATGGACTAGATAAGAGAATTAAGATTAGGTCATTGATATAGCTAAAACATCAAATTCAAACTCACCCACTTTTGTAGATTTCCTTTTGCAGAGTAAAGGACTCACTCCAAGCCAGTCCATGCATCATAATCACTTTCACCTGAAAAATTTCAACAAATTAATTTCAGATTTAAAGCCAATCTTGCTTTACTTTTCAAATTAGCATTCAGTACTTTACAAATTCAGATGGAAAAAATTTTCTTTAAGGAATTTACCTTTCCTACACATTCTACTAGCAGTAGTAAAGATCTAATTTAGCAATATAAATATATATGGCATCAATTTGCCAGGTTTCAGTAAATGTCATTTGAGAAACTATCCACAACTGCACTTCAATGGCAATTTACATTTATCTTTAGCCAATGCTATATTGTTTAAGTTACTACTATTTTTTTAGTTTTATGCAAATCTATTCAGATTAACCTTGACTACAACTCACCTGATTCTGTTTAAGCAACTGACAGAGGGACTTCTGGACTTTCCAAACCACATTCTGGAAAACTATATAAATTTAAAACCAAGCTAAAGTAAACATTGAATATTTTTTTTTACTTTCAAGGGAAAAATACCATCACTTAGAACAAAACTTTTCCTGCCATTAACTTTATTTGACTCATGATTACCCTTAACAGCGTTATAAAGCTTATTTAACAAACATTTAATGTTAACTAAAGATTTATATTTCATTAAAATTAATAATAAAACACCCTCAACTATGCTGTTTAAGATCTAATGCCCCACATTACAATTTTCACAATTTCAACATACCATTCTATTCAATACATTCCTGAAAGGACTAAACTTGCAGATATGGTACCCACTAGCCTAAGCCTAGACTTCCATACCCTAATATTTAATAAGTTTTTATCAATTAACTTCTACCCCCTAATTCCAATGTACACAACACTACTTACTGTAGATCTGCAAGTATTTTCCTGCAAATCTTTGTTGCCAGGACCTTCCACAACCTGTCATGTGAACAGTAAATATTACTAAAAAGTTATTTGCATAGTGATGTTATTGTTCATACCTGTACCACCAGTTTAACAGTTGCCATTTTAAATGGCACTAGGTATCTTGTTGTCCCATCTGTATTAATTACCATGTTGGGAGGCAGTTGAAGACTAACCAATCAACATCCCAGGCTGGAGAGCAGTGCCAGCTCAGGGAGAATTTACCACCTGCAAAAAATTTAATACTCTTAACAATCTACAACATCTATTTCATCTTTACCTAGCCCCCAAACCTTACATTTGTCACCATTAAACTGCATCTGGTAGTCTTAACCAACTATATAGGGCATCGGTATTTTTTTTTATTTGCCAATTCTGCAACTATTGCAGTCTAAACCATAATCTTGCGAATAACCGAAGTCCAAGGAGAGCTTTTAGGCACTACTTACAACACTTCTCCCAACTTAACCCCATTTATACTAATTTCCTTTGGTATAGCCATGACCTAATCAACTTGAGTCAGCATTCCCAATGATCCGAGCCCCTATCAAAATCTCTGCTGAAGTCAAGGTACACAAAATCACAAACTTTATCACCATTTCCTCAACTATGCAACCTAATCCATGAACATTTAGTAATAAAACTATGCGATTCATGTATCTAGTCATGTTTCTCAAAAAGAGTAGAGAAATGGCACTTGCAATGGTAGATTCTAGTAACTTTCCTCACAATAGACTAAGCTAATTGGTCACTAACTTAAGCGTTAAAGTTAACTCAAACTTTTCCTTTAAAACTTGCTATATTAGGAACTTTCCACGACCGGCCTTTACCCAACATAATTAAATAGGGTAAAAACGGTATATTAAATGCAGTAAAACTACGGTAAATTCAATATGATAAACTTGCATTCTTTAAGCATGGGCTGCATAGTAAGTGAACTAAACTAAATGTTAAGCACCCTGGCAAACCACTTCGTTCTATTCAATTTCTTTATTTAATTACTTTGTCCGGCTAGAATTTTTAGATTAGAATAAAGGAACACCCTCCCTGGTAACGGCTGAACTAGTTAACCAACTACAAATATTTAGGCACAATACTTTCATAAAACCCGTCTACTTCCCCCACCAGTAGACTTTTTCAGCTAAAGGCATAATGTAATGTTCCACTTTAGTAAATAAAGACTTAAAAAACACTACCCCATCTGTGTAGTTACAGGTTACCTGACATTCTACGCTTAAAATAACCCATCTATTCCCCATAATTGTTCGATATAACTTACCTCTCACCCGCTCGTCGAGTACACAGCAATATATATCCTCCTCCATCACTCACCGCGTGGATACTATTTCACTCTGGCCGCAAATTGCCTCAAATCACCTACGTTGTCCATAAACATATATAGAAGAGCAACTGACCATAACACCCGTATAGCGATCATCACATAACGTGGGAACATTAGTAGTACTGCTGTCAAAACATAGATGGCGCCAGGACAAACGGTAATTCCTATGGACTCGCCTAGTTATGCGTAGGGAATTGAGCTTCAGCTGTTTATTCCCGCCCCTCAGCTGTATTCACCTAGTTGTACTCACTTAATTTGTGCTTGCAGGGGTAGAGCTTTGGTTCTTTGGTCCCGACTCTCAACCGTCAATCAACAGGTGTACAGGTTCCTGAGCCTATTGGGCTCTATCACATCTACATTTGAAATTGTGTATGGAGTCAGCCTCCACCACATCACTGCTTAATACATTCCATTTGTTAACTACTCTGACACTGAAAAACTATCAAAATGCATATATCTTTGCTTTCACTTCAGTTATATTTATGACAAGGGATTTAAAATTTGCCTATATTTCTGCTTCTCTGATGACATTAAAAACTTTCGTTTATTACAGTATCTACATAAAAATAACATTTATCTTCATTAGGTTGTAGTTCTCATCAATAGGGAGAGCGTCGGTAAAAAAAAAATTGTTTAAATATAAATAAATATCTTTCCTCTCTCAATAATATGCCCGAAACGCTATGCGTACTAGTGGCTTTAGGTATTGTATGTACTAGCTCTATCTATAAATCCAATATTATGTTTGTAAATCGACTATTTATGTACTTTCCTGAATAAAATGAACTTTACTAATATCTAATCTCTGTGACTAAAACGTAAGAACGACTTTATCTATGCCTTTTTGATAACATATACAATTATAAGCTTGATTAGTGAATCTCTATTAATTAAACAATATATCAGAGAGTGTGTAAGGTTCGGTGTTCCATGTGCGAAGAGACATGGGAGATTTTACATCAGTACAGTAAATGTTTTAAGTAGCGAACGCATACTAACGAATAACGATTAGTATAGACCAACACTATTGTTCTATGAAGTCGATTTAACTTCCAGACATGTATTTTTCAATAAGTCTTAAATATTTTCTGGCTAGTTATGTTAGATATTATTAGAAATACGTATTCTACTTGTTAATATTATAAACTAAATTTGCGATCATTTAAGGAGAGAAGTGCGACGACTGGATCACTGTGTACAGAAGGTTGATATGCCAACAAACACTTTCCAGACAACAATATATCTTGGATAAGTCGCTCCACAACATTGACACCTGGACCGTTCACTTCCTATGAGGCCACATATTTACTTATTTCATAATGGAAGTATATTATTTTATAGTAAATATATGTTTTCTCGTGTTCTGCATTAAGCACCAACATTATAGTGAATAAATATACCATATTTCTTCATTATTTAAGTAATGCTAGGAGGCTTTGAGTAGCTTTGGGTCATTAGGTGAACAGAATCTCCAATAGATGGGGCGAGAGTCGCGCTATCTCTCGCCCGAGCGAGAGTCGAAACTTATTTTAGAATTGATATATCTTTGTCCTCCAACAAGATAGATTTCCTTTGGTGCACTCACAATAACGAGCATATCTCTGTCTTTCTGAAGGCATATAATATTTTAGGCATATGTCTTTAACATATGTCTATGTTAAAGTATTTAAAATGAAGCTTATATTTCTATCTTTCTTGAGACATAAAACATGTGTGTTTATTAATGAATTTACGTGAAATAAGCATTGTTCTGAGAGAGAGTTGCTCTGTCGATCAGTCTGTGCGGGGTCGGAGCTCGGCGATTATTAAAACACATGTATCTTCATTAGAACTTTATATATATCTATGGTAAAGTATTTAAAATGAAGCTTATATTTCTATCTTTCTCAACACATATAAAAACATTTGCGTTTATTAACGAATTTACGTGAAATAAGCATTGTTCTGAGAGAGAGTTACTCCGTTGCTCGATCTGTGCGGGATCGGAGCTCGCCGATTAGAAAAATACACGTTCTTCGCTTTAAATACAAATATGCCCATGGTAAGGCATTTAAAATGAAGATTATGTTTCTATCTTTCTTGAGACGTATAAAAATCTTACGTTTATTAACGATTCTGCGTGAAATAAGCATTGTTCTGAGATGAATATTGCGGATTTCCGGCTCTACGACCGATGAAAAATGCAACTTTTATACAACTACAAATATCTTTAGTTTTACTTTAAATTTTGTCCTGAAAGAGTTTTCATATATAGATCCAGTTTCTGCCGTTCTTCTGACATAAAAAGACCTTTGGTTTAATAAGTTATTAAGATGTTTTCAACAATATTACTAGGGCGTTCACCGATTCTAACATGGGCGACCCTTTTGGAAACGCAACACATGGGTTGACCTGATTGATATATGGGTCAGATTCCATTAAGGTTCGGAACATCACCACACCAGAAATAAATATCTCTTTGATATCCCCAGGGTCAAACTTAATCTGTGTAAACACTCTATGCAAATTAAGGGACCTAGTCTATGGAACTCACTCCCTAGTGAATTGAAAAACTGTAAAACTTTTGCCTTATTTAAAAGCAAAACCAAAAAGTACCTAACTTCATCTTCTTAGTTTCCTACACTGAGCTTTAAATTTGCTCTGTACCTAGTGTTACCCAATCTCCTAATTTTTATGTAATATCAAACAACCTTATCATTGTGTTCATTGCTGTCTTCTTTTACGTGCTAGCCATATGCTGTATTGTGACTACCAATTTTTGTCAACTACCATTCAAGCTGTCATTGCAATCAATCTTATATTGTTTCTGCTGTATTGTGCCTACCAATTTTTGTCAACTACCATTCAAGCTGTCATTGCAATCAATCTTAGCTACCTATGTGCTTTAATATACTGTACCTACAATTTTCTCTCATCTTCTTTTTTTCATTTCATGTAACTGTTATCATTTTTTTGTCTATAAATTTTGCAAGTATTTACCTCCTTAAAATTTTCTTAGATTAAGGACCTGCCCGAAACACTGCGCGTGCTAGTGGCTTTACAAGACTGTAATTACCATATTTGTATCCTCACATTCCTTATGTACATTCTTGTATATGCATAAATAAATAAATAAAGTGCATCACACTGGTTACATGGGGGGACACTCGTTTTGTATGACGTCCGTTTCACATGACGAACATGGAACGGATTAAATTCGTTATGCGAGGTACCACTGTATTTGTTTTTAGATGAATGAGAAGGTTTAAGGGAATATAGTTTTGATTGTGTTCGGGAGGCTGTGTTTGGCTGAACATGTGAACCATTTCCTGGTGCGAGAACATGTCTCGCACCTTCTATTATTACTATTCTGTTCCCCACTTTGATGAGGTGGAGAGATTATCATCCTGGTAACTGGTAAAAATGCAATGAAACAATGTATTAAAATGTTAAAGTATCACTGGTCTGTAATATAGTCACAACATGCCAGTATACAATCATGGATAAATGAGCATAATACTCCAACAACCATTCAAAGCAATACCTTAGCGTTTCATAAAATTTGGTGTACAGAACTCGTGACATGTCATACAAGAGTGCAAAAAGTTACAGTATAATCCCTACATTTGAACCTTTTCCACCCATCATTGTTCTTTGCTAGGCCCTGTGCAGTGTTTACACTGGTTTCTTGCGTTGACCATGTCTGCCCATTTCCTTCACTCTCTTTACAAGTCCATCATCATCCTTTTATTCAATGTGTTCAAGCCTCAGCATGCTCTCCTCAGTTTTGTGGATTATGTCACCTCACAGGATTTGGGGGGGCATGGGTGTCATTGACCCAACAAGCAGCATGGCAGAAGCAGAAAGAATGAGTGTCACTCTTTGGTACAGATGACAAACAGCCCTCAAACTCACTCAAGGTGAGATCTGGCTCAAAGTGGATATCCATAGGTCACAGAAAAACCAGCAGGGGATTACCAGAGCCTGAACGACAAACCAAACAGGACACTTGGGCACTGAAGACATTTGCTGGGAACTATACAAGTAGACAGCCTAGTCAACGTGGCTGTGTAGACTGACCTCGGCACGCCACGTAAAATAAGCATGTGAACCTCCAGTGTGCCCCAACCAAAATAATAGCCCTTAACTATGGGGTCTAGACAAAGGGCCAGAAAGACCCTTAAAATATCTAAGGTAAGACCCGCAGCATGATGGTTCGGCTTCTAAAGAGTAAAGTCTTGAGAACATTATGGAAGAGACCTGTGTCAGTGCAGGGGCACTGCACTGACAGGCGGAAGCACAATTAGGCGAGTACAGTGAAGGCTAGCCTAGAGTACATGAAGCTTCAAGCACCCTATGAGCCAGATCCATATAACACAAATCAAACAGAAGACACTAATGAAGCTAACTAAAACATAGAATAACGCCAAGCACATGGTCACCGCAGGACAAAGTCGAAAGATAGCCAGCAACTTTGCTTAGAAGCAGTGGAACTTGTGCAACTGGTTGATGACCCGGGAGCTTTAACAGTGGATGACTTATGCAAATAAGCTACAAAACTGTTTTGGAAGGCTGGGGAAGACCTGGAGTACTGGTCCCTTTCCCCACACAGATAGGTAGGGGGGAAGGGCCCCCGAGTACTAACAAGCTCGTACCAATTTCAAGAGATTAGGTAAATTTGTTACATTGTTTAGAGAATTTAGTAGTTTTGAGGGTTCTGTTCTATTGAACCCAATAGTGGTCTACATTCATTCACTTACTACTGTATATGCTTTTCCGGTGGAGTGGCCGAGTGTCGTCTCTCTGCGCCTCTGTGAGGGTGCCAAGTTCTGGCTCATGGTCCCAGGTAGGCCAAACAGAACTCCACAGCTGATGTGTCCTAATAGTTGGGAGCCATCTTAGCTGCATGATACCACAAAAGGCTCCTCAAGAAAAGCATCTTGGCTGGATGAAGGAAAAACTGAGGACACGACAGATCCTCTTGCTACAGTACTGTAAAATGTTCTTGTTCCATCTTTGGCAAAAATATAGATATACTGTACATGACTATTGCATAATTTTAATGATACACTTGTATTTACTTTGTTTGTATGGAATACAAGATTAGTTTTAGAATGTGAATATTCATGAGCACTAGGCTATCATTACTTTGTATTTCCCTCCCTCCTTCCCCAAGATCAGTGAGGTCAGAAATGTGTTTAATTGACCAATTCCCTTTAATGTCAAAATTATGTTCTCAACACCTAAAAGAAATGTCTAAAAACTTATTACTTGCACAAGTAATAATATTTGCCTATTACATTAATCCCAATACAACAAGGTACATAATAAAACATTACTACTATATTTACTTTCATGAGCATTTTTTACTTTTATTATATTTATAAAAGTACAAAGATATATTGGTAAATATTTTTCTAATCAAGCCAAAGGAAACATGATAATTTTGTCACTGGTCATGCATATTAAAATGTCACATGGAAAAGTAATTTTCTATTTAGAAACAATGACAGGGGGAAAAAAAAAAAAGAGAAGGATTCAGGCACATATATGTTAATGCTGCACCAAAGGTACGCATTTTAGAGCGATCGCTACTTCCTTGCAAAATTATCCCTGCTGGCAAACATGTTAGGATGAGTATTCCGTAAGTATGTTGGTCTAACACCGGAGAATGTTGTACCTTGGCAGGGTGCACAGGACATTAAACATCGAAAAGACTTACTACATCTTATTTGGAAGCAAATCATCAAATGCAATTCAGCTACAGATAGACAACATTAACATCAGTAATAAAAATGATGGCAAGTTTCTTGGCCTATTCCTAGACAAGAGACTCAACTTCAGCACCCACATTCAACACATAACTAAGAAAGTCTCTAAGACAGTTGGTATACTCTCCAAAATCAGATATTATGTTCCTAACTCTGCTCTCCTCTCACTATATTATGCACTAATCTACCCCTATCTTAATTATGGTATCTGTGCATGGGGGTCTACCACTGCAAACCACCTTAAGCCCATCATCACACAGCAAAAATCTGCTATCAGAATAATAACTAACTCTGCTTTCAGACAACACTCAGCTCCCTTGTTTAAATCTCTAAACTTGCTAAATATTAACTCCCTCCACACATTCTCTTGTGTCAACTACATTTACAAAACCCTGTTCTTAAATGCAAACCATGCTCTGAAACTCTCCCTGGACAGATGTAATAGGACCCATTATCACCACACCAGAAATAAATATCTCTTTGATATCCCCAGGGTCAAACTTAATCTGTGTAAACACTCTATGCAAATTAAGGGACCTAGTCTATGGAACTCACTCCCTAGTGAATTGAAAAACTGTAAAACTTTTGCCTTATTTAAAAGCAAAACCAAAAGTACCTAACTTCATCTATTTAGTTTCCTACACTGAGCTTTAAATTTGCTCTGTACCTAGTGGTACCCAATCTCCTAATTTTTATGTAATATCAAACAACCTTATCATTGTGTTCATTGCTGTCTTCTTTTATGTGCTAGCCATATGCTGTATTGTGACTACCAATTTTTGTCAACTACCATTCAAGCTGTCAGTGCAATCAATCTTATATTGTTTCTGCTGTATTGTGCCTACCAATTTGTTGTCAACTACCATTTTAAGCTGTCATTGCAATCAATCATAGCTACCTATGTGCTTTAATATACTGTACCTATAATTTTCTCTCATCTTTTTTTTTTTCATTCCATGTAATCTGTTATCATTTTTTTGTCTATAAATTTTGCAAGTATTTACCTCCTTAAAATTTTCTTAGACTAAGGACCTGCCCGAAACGCTGCGCGTGCTAGTGGCTTTACAAGACTGTAATTACCATAATTGTATCCTCACATTCCTTATGTACATTCTTGTATATGCATAAATAAATAAATTAAATAAATAAATAAATAAATAAATAAGCAAAACCAAAAAGTACCTAACTTCATCTTCTTAGTTTCCTACACTGAGCATTAAATTTGCTCTGTACCTAGTGTTACCCAATCTCCTAATTTTTATGTAATATCAAACAACCTTATCATTGTGTTCATTGCTGTCTTCTTTTATGTGCTAGCCATATGCTGTATTGTGACTACCAATTTTTGTCAACTACCATTCAAGCTGTCATTGCAATCAATCTTAGCTACCTATGTGCTTTAATATACTGTACCTACAATTTTCTCTCATCTTCTTTTTTTCATTTCATGTAACTGTTATCATTTTTTTGTCTATAAATTTTGCAAGTATTTACCTCCTTAAAATTTTCTTAGATTAAGGACCTGCCCGAAACGCTGCGCGTGCTAGTGGCTTTACAAGACTGTAATTACCATATTTGTATCCTCACATTCCTTATGTACATTCTTGTATATGCATAAATAAATAAATAAAGTGCATCACACTGGTTACATGGGGGGACACTCGTTTTGTATGACGTCCGTTTCACATGACGAACATGGAACGGATTAAATTCGTTATGCGAGGTACCACTGTATTTGTTTTTAGATGAATGAGAAGGTTTAAGGGAATATAGTTTTGATTGTGTTCGGGAGGCTGTGTTTGGCTGAACATGTGAACCATTTCCTGGTGCGAGAACATGTCTCGCACCTTCTATTATTACTATTCTGTTCCCCACTTTGATGAGGTGGAGAGATTATCATCCTGGTAACTGGTAAAAATGCAATGAAACAATGTATTAAAATGTTAAAGTATCACTGGTCTGTAATATAGTCACAACATGCCAGTATACAATCATGGATAAATGAGCATAATACTCCAACAACCATTCAAAGCAATACCTTAGCGTTTCATAAAATTTGGTGTACAGAACTCGTGACATGTCATACAAGAGTGCAAAAAGTTACAGTATAATCCCTACATTTGAACCTTTTCCACCCATCATTGTTCTTTGCTAGGCCCTGTGCAGTGTTTACACTGGTTTCTTGCGTTGACCATGTCTGCCCATTTCCTTCACTCTCTTTACAAGTCCATCATCATCCTTTTATTCAATGTGTTCAAGCCTCAGCATGCTCTCCTCAGTTTTGTGGATTATGTCACCTCACAGGATTTGGGGGGGCATGGGTGTCATTGACCCAACAAGCAGCATGGCAGAAGCAGAAAGAATGAGTGTCACTCTTTGGTACAGATGACAAACAGCCCTCAAACTCACTCAAGGTGAGATCTGGCTCAAAGTGGATATCCATAGGTCACAGAAAAACCAGCAGGGGATTACCAGAGCCTGAACGACAAACCAAACAGGACACTTGGGCACTGAAGACGTTCGCTGGGAACTATACAAGTAGACAGCCTAGTCAACGTGGCTGTGTAGACTGACCTCGGCATGCCACGTAAAATAAGCATGTGAACCTCCAGTGTGCCCCAACCAAAATAATAGCCCTTAACTATGGGGTCTAGACAAAGGGCCAGAAAGACCCTTAAAATATCTAAGGTAAGACCCGCAGCATGATGGTTCGGCTTCTAAAGAGTAAAGTCTTGAGAACATTATGGAAGAGACCTGTGTCAGTGCAGGGGCACTGCACTGACAGGCGGAAGCACAATTAGGCGAGTACAGTGAAGGCTAGCCTAGAGTACATGAAGCTTCAAGCACCCTATGAGCCAGATCCATACAACACAAATCAAACAGAAGACACTAATGAAGCTAACTAAAACATAGAATAACGCCAAGCACATGGTCACCGCAGGACAAAGTCGAAAGATAGCCAGCAACTTTGCTTAGAAGCAGTGGAACTTGTGCAACTGGTTGATGACCCAGGAGCTTTAACAGTGGATGACTTATGCAAATAAGCTACAAAACTGTTTTGGAAGGCTGGGGAAGACCTGGAGTACTGGTCCCTTTCCCCACACAGATAGGTAGGGGGGAAGGGCCCCCGAGTACTAACAAGCTCGTACCAATTTCAAGAGATTAGGTAAATTTGTTACATTGTTTAGAGAATTTAGTAGTTTTGAGGGTTCTGTTCTATTGAACCCAATAGTGGTCTACATTCATTCACTTACTACTGTATATGCTTTTCCGGTGGAGTGGCCGAGTGTCGTCTCTCTGCGCCTCTGTGAGGGTGCCAAGTTCTGGCTCATGGTCCCAGGTAGGCCAAACAGAACTCCACAGCTGATGTGTCCTAATAGTTGGGAGCCATCTTAGCTGCATGATACCACAAAAGGCTCCTCAAGAAAAGCATCTTGGCTGGATGAAGGAAAAACTGAGGACACGACAGATCCTCTTGCTACAGTACTGTAAAATGTTCTTGTTCCATCTTTGGCAAAAATATAGATATACTGTACATGACTATTGCATAATTTTAATGATACACTTTTATTTACTTTGTTTGTATGGAATACAAGATTAGTTTTAGAATGTGAATATTCATGAGCACTAGGCTATCATTACTTTGTATTTCCCTCCCTCCTTCCCCAAGATCAGTGAGGTCAGAAATGTGTTTAATTGACCAATTCCCTTTAATGTCAAAATTATGTTCTCAACACCTAAAAGAAATGTCTAAAAACTTATTACTTGCACAAGTAATAATATTTGCCTATTACATTAATCCCAATACAACAAGGTACATAATAAAACATTACTACTATATTTACTTTCATGAGCATTTTTTACTTTTATTATATTTATAAAAGTACAAAGATATATTGGTAAATATTTTTCTAATCAAGCCAAAGGAAACATGATAATTTTGTCACTGGTCATGCATATTAAAATGTCACATGGAAAAGTAATTTTCTATTTAGAAACAATGACAGGGGGAAAAAAAAAAAGAGAAGGATTCAGGCACATATATGTTAATGCTGCACCAAAGGTACGCATTTTAGAGCGATCGCTACTTCCTTGCAAAATTATCCCTGCTGGCAAACATGTTAGGATGAGTATTCCGTAAGTATGTTGGTCTAACACCGGAGAATGTTGTACCTTGGCAGGGTGCACAGGAGCACACTCTTGACTCTGCTGCTTTGCAGGTATAAACAGATGGCCGAGAACTTTGAGAATAACCATGCAAACAGCATGTTTGATGTGCACATTCAGTTTCTTTTTTATGGCTGCCAAATAAAGCAAGGTTAATGACACTGTTTTCCTTATCTGTTAAGTAGGATACAGTAGAAGCTGATAGACTCCGTCTAGGTGTACCATGTAGCTGACCCATCTTGTCCCACTGGAGAGACACTGTTACACAAGACTGACACACACCATGGGATGTTAGAATCGAAGGTATTTCACCTCTGTTTTCTGGGAATGGGCCATGACTGCAGCAACAGTGTAAGGCAATGTCTCTTGTGTCTGTTGGGAATGCAGAAGTAATCGATAAAGGAGTTTTCTTCTTTCTGAGGGAATAATGCAAAGTCTCTCGGGTATTGCATCTTGGTGCTTGATTTTCTGTGTGAAGATTATTTATAAATATAGTTGGTATTTTTGATCTGGGCAAAGAATTACTTTTATTATTCATAAAAGCTGGACATAATCTAGAGTCCAGATACATGTTACCATTATGAATTCCAGTTTCTAAAGTATCTGTTTTTGAAACACTGATTCGAATATTCTTTTTTGATGTATTCTTGGCTTGATTTTTAATATCAGTTTTAGATAAAACAGACTGCTGTACTCCTAAGGAATTGTCATCTTTTAATATTAATTTGTCACAAGTGAGTTGGTTATTGGTAGTTCTGGGACAAGTCACTTGATTTTTGGTTTTCTTCATTGATGACACATCTGAAGTCCCATGAAATGAAGGTGATTCTATGGACTGAGGTCCACCAAGGCAGTTGAGTAAAGTGGCTACCTCTTGGAAGCCTCCGAGGAGTCGCATCTCTCCGCCCCCATCACCACCTGTAGTACAAACACAAGCAGTGATCGAGTTTTATTAGTTTTGAGGATTTTCAGCTGCCTGGTAGTAGTGTTGCTCGATAACTCACTTAATTCACACATTGAAATTAATTTAGAAGGTATTATACAATTCTATATTACACAAGAAAATCATTTGCTATACAGTATTCAGGTTCAAAATTTTTTGTTTGGTTAATATGAATTCTTAAATGTTTGTCCACATTTGGCCAAATGTGTGCATGATGATCACACTCCATTCCTTGAGTATTCCACTATTCAAACCTGTACACTCATAACATTTTCAGACCCCATCCCTTACAACAGTTTTACCCATTCTGAATGGGTATAGCATTGTATATACAAAATGTTCAAGCATGTACTGTTACAAAAAAAAAAAAAAAATATTGTAGGTCTATTCACATTAGTCTTTCCAGCAAAACCCCTTCAAGTTAAATTCAGTACAATGTCTGAAACTGTCGACTAAACTGGCTCCAAAATTCAGCATGACATAATAAAATGCAAATATGCACATGACAGGTGCTCTTAAATGCTTCTTGCACAAAAGATTAGCTAGTAGGGAAGCTGACACGACTGGTGTATTGTTCATTCAATAACGAGTACATAATGTGCAAGCAGATAATTAGGGGTGTTTTACATCTCAAGTACTTAAGTTATAAATCACTGCTCACACGTACTGTACAGCATATTTAAGCTTCCAGTTTTACCCGTTTTAAAGGCAAGGGGTATTTTGTAAATTTTTCAAAAATTTTAGATATGAGCATTCAGGTTTGAACAAAAATAATACTCAATAAAGAGGTGTGAGGTCAACTTTTCAAGGGCATACAATATAGTCTTCACCAATATTTAAGAATTATCAAAATACTTGTAGAAGGTGAATAAATACAATAGCAAGTGAGTTTTTTTTATATGTAATTATTAAGCAATAATATAATGATAATCTCTCTAGTTTTACTTTTAAAGAAACTGATATTCAGTGAAGAGTATTTACTAAATGACTAGACTGTCCAAATAAAATTATTCTAGAAATACTAGAATAGATTTAAAAGAATGTTTTTTAATCCTTTGGCAAGGTTGACATGCAAAAGGATTGCCAGTTTATGCCAGCAATGCAATTAAAAACTTTCCCCTACCTCTGTGGTGTTTATTGTTGCCTTATGAGACTAGTATCTTTTACAAATTTTCAGTGAGAATAGTTTTATGTAAATTATAAAGGCATACTGTGTACACTCATATATATCAGTTAGTTAAGGAACCAAGAAACTGTAACTCTTGGATCTTACATATAATGTGTTAGCCATTTTTTCTTAAAGATAAAAAATTACTGTAGTTCTATACTCCATAGGGCATTGGGGAGGGGGGGTGTTAATGTGCACAAAATGGAAGGCTAAATGAATTCAAAATTGACTAATTATTCCTGATATTTTACATGTATTTCTGCAAGTGAAAAAAAATATAAATATTTCTAAGTATGACTGACCTGAGCAGCAGGAGGAGAGGGAACCAGGGGAGCTGCCGTCACCTTCGTAAGCGTAGTTTCGGAGGTCGTCGAGGGTTGGGAGATGTGGGCAGCCACACCCTCCTTCTGTCCTGCCATCACTGCTGCCAGCCTGTGTCTCCCGCTGCAGAATGTCAACGCCTGGCAAATCAGATAGTAATACAATAATGCAGTCTTCATGGGCTGAAGAAAGCCATAACCATGTAACCTTCAGTGACTTAAATAGGCAAGGAACATTGGTAGTACAAATATTTGCTATTTTTACTGACACATTTTAGTCATTTTGACAGTTTGTAAAGTGTTTCAAGATGCATATGAAATCATTTATGAGTCAATTTATGAGTAGCATAAACTGATGAGAGGAGCAACATTTTCAATCTATAATTTTAATGTAACATTTATAAACAGAATAGTCACATTGCTGCACTCTTGAATTTTGTTCACAAAATTATGTTTACTTTTGGAACTGATAACGTTGGTTTTCCTGGGTAATTTACACAGTACTGTATATCAAACATTTGTTTCAGATCACAGGTTAACAACAAAAAAATCATTATGCAAGCATCTTACAACAAAAGTATGATATACATATATTACTAATGGAAAAATAGAGAACAAGTAGGCACATGGACAAAAGATGTCGATTCTACGTTACTCAAGCACGTCTTGCTCACTGGGTAATAATGTTCCAAATTCTAAGATATTGTTTAAAGGATTATGGGTGTATTGCCCATGACCAAGTATATGCAGTACTCCAGCCTTAATATACATCAACACAACTGTACAACAGTCCAAGTGGGCACAATACCCAAGCTTAACATTAAAACAGTGCCGACTGGAAGCATTTGAACCTTTATACTGTACAATGTTACTCTTGGATATTATGCTCACTGGGGACGTTAATGCAACATTGTATCAATGTTTCTCTTGGATGTTGTGCTCACTGGCAACATTGATGCAATGGTGAAACAACAACGATCCAATGTAGTTATGTTCCCAGTGGGTACATTATCAAAGAGTAACGTATCAATGTTCCTAAACTGAAATTAAACACAAGAAAGGTTGAATTTACTCTGACCAATTATATTGCTGTGTACAGTATAGTGTACTGTAGAAAACTGGGTAGTTTACATATTAATATGAATTGTAAGATTTCATATACACGTTTATTACATCCCTAAGGTATAAAAACATGTATAAAATAGTAATACTGTTCATCATGCTATGTCTACCAATTCCTACCAACTATTTTAGTTTCCTTGCTCAAGGGAGGCTGTGTTTGGACTGTCGAACTTTTGGTAATACTGAGCTCTGTCACATCTGTCTGATGTCCATGCTGAATGCTTGAATCTTGTGAGGACATCTGCGCTATGGTGTCCTCAGCTATTCCTCGTGGTACTTTCTGCTGCTGCTGCTGCTGCTGCTGTTGTTGCCTTTGGCGAAGCAGGTACACTGCAGCCACAACTGCTGGCACCAGACACAGGAATTAACATTATAAAGGAATTTAAGGCACTTGAATCTTTGTTACCCCATTCCATTCCACCCTAATGTATGTGTGTATGTGTGTGTGTAATTACCTAAGTGTAGTTACAGGATGAGAGCTACACTTGTTGTACTCTTTGTTGTATAATGCTTTGAAACTAAACATTTCAATTAAAACAATTAAACATTTCATAATTTTTTTCAAATAATGTCTCAAAATTAAACATAACATTTTTACCATCAACAAGAGTTGATGGTAAATGACATTTACAGTGGTGAGAAAATCCTTAGGAGCCGTGATTAGGGTTTGAACCTATGTGGCGTGTGTTGCTCTAGCGACTAGACCATGACATGGTATAGGGATTGCATCTTTTGTAATAAAGATTGCATTGCATCTTTATTGCAATATTAAAGTGTAAAAATATCTTTTAATAACTACATTTGCACCAAAAAACAAACACCTTTAGTAAATATATTTAAAATTAATTATATACTGTGCATGTTAAAGAACAACACACACACATGCATTCATTTTGTACAAATACTGTAAATTACCTAAATGTTAATGTACCAACGTTGTACATGTGCAGAGGTACATGTTTAACTGAGCAGGTGTGTATTTTCACAAGATGTTTTGTGCATATGAATAATATAACTAACGTTTAAATAGTTGAGGATGGCAACAAGAAGGAAACATGATAACATTGAACTAACACGTAAGGATAGAGAAAATAGCTGAACTGACCAATGAAGAGGATGACCCACACCAGCACGGCGACCAGCAGCCCAATGGACCATCCCAGAGACGGAAGACTCCCAGACTTTGCCTCACAATGTTCACCTGAAAAGTAATTGGTCTTGATATTCATTCACAATTATATTACACCCCTTGAATCTAACTAAATCATTTTTGTCCACCGGCAAGGACCATTGAAGAACGTGGTGGACCTGCATGGAGCATTGAAGAATGTGGCGGGCTGACAAGGGGCACTGAGGTACAGTATATGGGGAACAGGCAAGGAGCTTCAACAACACAAAGCAAATACTGATAACACCAAAAGGAGAGAGTGATTATTTGTGACAGCAAAAGTTAGTGTTGACTTCTTGTGTCCCATATTCTATCATAGATGTTTTCAAAGTTTTCAGTATGTATGTATGCTCTTATATCGGCTGTTTTATAAATGTTTGAGCTTTATCTCCTGGGTTCCACCTTTCAACCTTCAATCGACTTTCATAATTGACCCCTAAGGAATCAATTATATCAATCTTAAATTCCATGTATGGACTCTACTTCCACCACCTCTCTTTCTGGTTCATTCTTCTTCACTACCCTTACGCTGTAGTGTGCATTACTTATTAATTGCCATTATTTATATAGTTTCAGTGAGCTATGCTCCTGGTTTTCTATCTTCATATTATTTACCTATATCGGGAACAAAAAAGTATGTTAGGCTCACCGAGTCTCCCCCGGATGCAACCCACAACAGTTGCCTAACTCCGAGTACGTATTTACTGCTAAGTGAACAAAGACATGTAGATAAACATGCCTAAATGTATCACTGAATGAGAAACTTCATGCTTTGTTTTCAAGGCGGTCGCCATTACATTCAGTCCGATGACTAAGAACACAAAAAGCTAAACATCTCTCGTCTATTTGATTTATCATACAACAACATACCTTCATATTCTCTGATTCGAGTATGTTTAATTAAGTCAATATCATGACTGTTCACATTTAACAGTTCCGTAATCTAGAACAATCTGGTATGTTGCGTGTCCTAACAAGGACTACTGCCTGATTATGTTCGAACCCAAGAAGAATTATCTTGTACCAATGGCAGCTAAGTTTGTAAGTAAAGTAATTGCTCCAAGTAAAGAGCAATTATAAAACAATTCATATACTGTATGTCATTGTGATAAAAATGAGCAAGAACAAAATGAACACATTTCTCAAGAAATCGGCAAGAAAAATACAGTTAAATGTTTTGATAAAATTTGTTTCAGGTAATTCCACCTTAGTTGGTGCTGGGGCTGTGAGTTGAAAGATACAGTAATTGCTCAACGCGGGAAAAAGCACTGAATTTTGTAACTAGCTCATCAAGATTGTAACTTGCTTAGCTAAATGAATTGTGGGGTTCAGTCCCTGAGCCTATGTAACCTCTATCTTATGTGCCTCTGTAACCCTTTCCACTACTGCCCACAGGATGGGTATGGGGTGCATAATAAATGAACTAAACTAAGTTTATTTTGACAGTCTTCCAGTGAAGGGAAAAATTATTCAGCATCTGAAGGATATGTCTGTGAGCAGACACCACAGTAAAAGACAAAATATTAAAGTTGGAAACAGACTAATAAATTATATTAGTTCATGTAAATTTCTTTCCATTTGACTTGAGACTAATAACGTTACATCATCAGCTAGGCAGCCATTACTGCTCGATTTTGTATAGGGGTGAAGAAATAATGTGAAGAACTGCTTAACTTTAATAGTTTGTGCGTGCATGCATACCCAACTGTGTGTATTTATTATATTCTCTACAAATGTGGCCATTCAGTTGCATTGCTAATCGGCATACTGTATATATATATATTGTATTCAGTCTACCATGGACAGTGTTAGAGATCTGTCATACCTAAGTCTTTCGGTACACTCCAGCCACCTACCATGGTGTGAGGCGGGACAGACGCAGTAGTAGCCTGGATCCATGTTCATGCAGGACCCACCGTTTAAGCAAGGCGACCACACACACTCGTCTATGTCCTGGCAGGCGCTTCCTTCCTGCGTCAGGGTCGCCCCAACCGGACATCTGCCAAAGAAATTGAATTGCACATAGGAAATAAATTCAAAACACATCATTTGTGAACTCAAAGATTCATTTATATAGATTAATAATGCTGGCAAGAACATTTTAAATTTAGAGTTTTATGCCCCTGAATATGAACACAAGTGAATGAAAAATGTAAAAATGGCGTAAGGCTAATTGATAATGGCGATTTGTTAGTTTTGCCCAAATCCCTCTACAATGTTCAAAATACGATGCCTATAGGAAATATGACTCTTGAAATTCCAATTTCTGATTGGAATTCAGGTGGATTGCATGTATTTGAAGTTTTAAATTGCGACTTTTTATACTGAAAATATGCAGAAATCAGCACACCAAAGGAATTACTGGCAAAATAGGAAGATGGATTAATAATTTCCTAATGAACAGAACTCCAGTGTGTAATAGTCAACAAAGTAAAACCCAGACCATCCACCGTGAAAAGCAGTTCCCCAGGGTATTGTGCTCACACAGCCCCACTCCTGTGCCAAATAAGTCCACTACGGGCTCACCATAGCCCGTGCTACTTGGAACTTTTTGTTCCAAGTAGCGAATCTTAAATTCTACTACACCTACTACATCTTATTTAGAAGCAAATCTACAAAAGCAAAAACCTACTACATCTTATTTGGAAGCAAATCTACAACTGCAATTCAGCTTCAGATAGACAATGTAAACATTAGCAATAAAAATGATGGAAAGTTTCTTGGCCTATTCCTAGACAAGAGACTCAACTTCAGTACCCACATACAACACATAACTAAGAAAGTCTCTAAAACAGTTGGTATACTCTCCAAAATCAGATATTATGTACCTAACTCTGCTCTCATCTCTCTATATTATGCACTAATCTATCCCTATCTTAATTATGGTATCTGTGCATGGGGTTCAACCACTGCAAACCACCTCAAGTCCATCATCACTCAGCAAAAATCTTCTATCAGAATAACAACAAATTCTGCTTTCAGACAACACTCAGCCCCCTTGTTTAACTCCCTGAACATGCTAAACATAATCTCACTCCACAAATTCTCTTGTGTTAACTACATTTACAAAACCCTGTTCTTAAATGCAAATCCTGCTCTGAAACTATCCCTGGACAGATGTAATAGGACCCATTATCACCACACCAGAAATAAATATCTCTTTGATATCCCCAGAGTCAAACTTAATTTGTGTAAACACTATGCAAATAAAGTGACCCAGTCTATGGAAGTCACTCCCTATTGAATTGAAAAGCTGTCCAACTTTTGCGTCATTCAAAAACAATACTAAAAAGTACCCAATTTCATCTTCATAGTTTTTTACCTTTTGCTTTAAAATTGCACTGTATCTATTGCTACCCAATCTCCCAATCTTTATGTACCCAATCCAAACATCTTTACCATTGTGATCATTGCTGTCTTCTTATATGTGCTGTCAATCTGCTGTATGGTGTCTATTAATCTTGTTTAAATTACCAATCAAGCTGTCAATGTAATCAATCAGAGCTTTAATATACTGTACCAATGTGCTTTAATTACTTACTAATCTCTCTCATCTCATTTTTTTTCTTGCAATGTATTTGTTATTTTATTAATTCTGCTAGATAAAGCAGAATTAAAGCAGAAAAATTAATTTCTGTACATAAACCTACTTAAAATTATCTGTTAGATTAAGGACCTGCCCGAAACGCTGCACGTACTAGTGGCTTTACAAGATTATAAATACTATGCTATGTATTCTCACAAACCCAATGTACCTTCTTGTATATAAATAAATAAATAAATTAAAACAACAACAGGTATTGTGCTTGTTCCAGTACTTTTTTTGGATTCTCGCAACCGACACAGACAAGGACAAATCTACAGTAGTGCATTATCTTTTGCACACTTGTTTTTGTTTATGAGCATAATCAATATATATATAGAGGATCAACTTCCCTCTACCACACCATGTACAGATTCCCCACCTGCCCTCCAAATTAGGTAGCGACCAAATTAGTAGTGGGACAGTGCCTCATGGTGGGTACTGACCCACACTCGTGCCTCCACCACACGTCAAGACAGGTGAAGGGCTCCTCGCAGGTGATGTTGGTGCAGGCGGAGGGGGCAGTGCAGCCCGGCGCCACGTTAGTGAACATAGTGGCTTGAGCCCACGAGGAGGTGTTGAGCAGCGGCGGCAATGGCAGCTGGATGCCAGACACCCGCAGATCGTCCAGGCAACCTACAAAGAGTCAAAAACATTTAAAAATAAAGATACAAAAACTAGAGTGACTAGACCCCCCCCCCCCAAAAAAAAAATACAACTCTGGGGAATTGTTAATAATTTGAAAATACTGTACATAAACTATGCTAAAAATAGTGTCTTTCTATGGTAATTGGGCATGGAAGGAGCGAGAACCATGAGAAAAGGAACCAAAAATGACAACTGGTACTACAAGAGATAATTAGCATTAAGAAAGTAGCCCTGCAGGTAGAGTAAGGGGCGTACTACATAAAAATGTGTAGTAATGTATGTAATGTGTGCTGTTGCACATCACAAGTTCACGTTGTGTACTATAAATTTTATATTAAAAAACCAAAGCCAGTAACTAAACTTAGAATGGCCTACATCTTTGACCCTTCACCACTGCTAGATACAATAAACCTTGTTTGCAGCCTCCGCCCTGATACTGGGGAAACAGATCTAACGCAATGTACCTTCTTGTATATAAATAAATGAATAAATAAAATAAATACAAGAATTTTAACCCACTCACCAATTCCCTTTTAAACACAATCCAATATATATACAACAACAAAAGATAAGCTGGTCCTATGAAGATGATGAGCTTACCATCGTGGAAGTCATAATGGACGGTGTAGAGACTGACGCCAACATACTCTGGCGACCCTCCTACATGCACACCCTCCTGCTTGTCTATGAGGAGAGGCGTCGACCACCCCTGCAGCGTCGCCGGCGTGGGGGTGGCGTTGTACAGTGCTCCGTCACCCTCGTCCACCTGCAGCTCCACCCACTGACCGTATCTACCACAACAGTTCCATAGGGATCATCAACTGGAATTGTTCAGGATGTCAATGATGCCAAATTTTATTTCGTAACCTTGTGTAATAATTCATAATTCACGTTGTCAAGGACAGGAAGCCTGTGAATATATACTTTAGGCTTGTATGGGTCGAACTATTGACCTTTCCCAGCATGCAACTCATCCTCCGGTAATGAAAGTATTTATAATGATAGTATCTGATCGAACACACCAATGTGTGCTGTTGCACATCACAAGTTCATGTTGTGTACTATAAATTTTATATTAAAAAACAAAAGCCAGTAACTAAACTTAGAATGACCTACGTCTTTGACCCTTCACCACTGCTAAATACTGTAAATCTTGTTTGCAGCCTCCGCCCTGATATTGCAGAAACAAATGGCACCTTTCATAACTAAACCTCAATCATTAAGGTTTCTAATTTGCGGGATTAACTTTGTCATCCTACGCTTGACGCGTTCTAGTGAATTTATATCCATTCTTTTGTATGGCGACTTTTGGTGGTACTTATAGTAATGATGAGGACCATGGTACCGACGTATAACGGGATTAGAAAGACAAAATTATACCTTCATGCTTATGTTCTATTTTGTGTTGATACTTGATTGTTCTATAATCATCAATAAGTTGACACTAATGCAAAATGATCTACAGTGTGGGCGTGAGGCATACAGTACTACATAATTCCGTCACCACCCACTAAACCTCCAGCTGTGTGCTGTTCTCACGTCATCAGATCAGACCCTCAGAGCACGATTGATGATTAATGAAGATTAAGCCACCCAAAAGGTGGCACGGGCATGAATAGCCTGCAAGTGGTGGCCCTTTTGGAGCCATTACCAGTATCATTAGCTGATACTGGAGATCTGTGGAGATGCGACTGCACCCTACGGAGAGGTCATGACCTGTCAGAGCACGCATTCACCTTATCCTTTCATACTCACCTGCGGACATAAACAGTGTGCCATTCTCCATCGGTAAGAAGCACTTGGGAGAGACAGAGGTGGATGAGGGCGGTGGGATGAAGAAGCATCTTGAGGCAGACATGACCGTCAACCAGATGCAGGACGGCAAGGTCCCGGCCGTGTTGAGAGGTCACTGCTATTAGCTGGCCAGACTCCTCCCACGTACGGTACCTGAGATCACAGAGGATAAGTATATCTCACCATTCATGATTAACATTGCTGATGCTTAGAGGTAATCTCAGCCCTCAAGCAAATATCACAATATTTATTTTGCTGAGAAATGGTGTAACCTCCCACGGTGCAGGAAAGTGCCGTTGTTGTTTCTCTTGGTACAAATCATGCTCTCAACCACGTCGCTCTCGGGTCCTGCAAGAGTGACGTGGGCAATCGAGGGTTGTGACTAATACATGAAACAATGACCCAAGGTAAAATACATTCGTCAGATCTAGAAAAACTGTCTTCTCTATCCACTTTATCTCTTCCCTTTCCTCTTGCACCTCCTCATTGGAAATCTTTTGTCAAGGTCAAAGGTAACACTGGCGATAATAATATGGATGTCAGTGGTGCTAACAGCAGCTGACGATTGCGAATCTAAACTATGTTAATAATGTTCTTTATGATCACATGGTTGCCTTGACGTTAATGGAGATGTAGAAAACGCCGTTAAGAGGATGACTGTGGCTTATCAGAGAAGCTGAAAGAGGAAGGAACCACACAGCACTGCTCCTGTGCCAGGTAAGTCCACTACGAGCTCACCATAGCCCGTGCTACTTGCCCCGCTCCTGTTCCAGGTAAGTTACGGGCTCCCCATAGCCCGTGCTACTTGGAACTTGTTCCGAGTAGCTGAATCTATAACAAAAACGAGGAAGGAACTCACCTCAGCTGGATGGAGGTAGTGTTGGGCACCGGGGCGGCGGAAAGTGCCACCTTCACGTAGCTGCTGGAGGAGAAGGAGGCTGGCTGGGTGCAGGAGGAGCAGTCTGCCCCTCCCCGCCCGGGCACACACCCGCACCCCCATGCACCTCCCTCCATCTCCATGCACCTGCAATACACAACACTTCCTTACCACATTCTACTGAATCTATGATTTGATTACGAGTAACTTCAACACAACGAATTTAATTATGAATGGCAGTATATTAGGCTCTGTCGTAGTAATCTCTAGGCCACTTAAACTACTAATTATTCTACGATAATATAATTTTTTAACTTAATACAAACTTTTGTTGCTAGGTTTGAATATCTGTTACTTATCTAACATTCCTACATTAAAAAAGTAATAAACTTAAGAGCTCAAAATCTCTATTGTATGACAAAACAGATCAGGGCTGTCTTGACGGCCCTGATCTGTTTGAATTATATAAATAAGCATTATAGGGCCCTGGGCAAAGCACTTCACTGGGGCCCCCACCCAGATTATGAGTCCTCACCCATTCACTACAGTGCAGGATGGATACAGATATTAAATGTATGCAATAAATTTAAATTTAAAAAGGATTTGAATGCCAGGACCTTCCATTGAGAGGTCGAGTAATTATTCACTCTGGCGAAATCTCTCTCATGAACACTATATGGCAGCCGGGGGGGGGAGGGGACCCTGGGCACCTGCCCAGTATGCCCAGGCGTTACTGAAACATTATAAATATTATATGGAAAATTACCACATCTACTATCTGCCGATCTACTGGGAAATGTTGAATATTGACTCACGTGTGGTGTTGAGTGCAGGGGTGGCCGGCCAGGGAGCACGGGTCCTGGCCGGGGCACCCTGGCCAGCTGTCCTCCCCCAGCACCGCCTCCCCCAGGTCCCGCAGCTGGGGGATGGGCAGGAAGTCTCCATTAGTGCTGCACTCGTATGTAGTAAAACACATGTCTAACCCCCGTCTATATTGGACAGATGAAGATGCATGGGGCCCCTGACGGCTGAGTGGACAGCGCTTGGTGTTCGTAGTCCTAAGGGCCCGGGTTCGATCCCCGGTGGAGGCGGAAACAAATGGGCAGAACAAATCGACGAGGGCAGTGATAAGGATTCGAACCTACATCCGGGATGATCCCAGACGCGCCTTAGTCGACTGCGCCACGACATGGTTAAAAGAATTGCAACCTGGAGTGCTACTGCCCTCACGAGGCTCCCGCAGATTCTCCGAAGCACAAACGGGGGATTTTTGTGCTTTTTGTGACCATTCATTCTCGCCATAGTATTTTCTATGGTTTTTCACCAGTATTATTGTTATTCTTTTTAACTTGTTTCCAAAATAACTAATGCTTCCCGAATAATTTTTATTTTATCAGAGGTAGGTATTAAAGGTAAACAATATACATATATAACAGAACTGAACGGCCTGAATGAGGAAAAACGACACTTTGGGACTAAAATAACATTTGCCGTCGTTGTGCTAACTATTCACATAAATATGCATATGTTGTTCTTATCGTAGATGTCGACTATTTGTATATTCTCTGAAAATAAATAGAATGTATTGTTTGCAAGAGGAGCCACACATCTATGGATCATCCAATAAAACCAGCAAACTTCTAGATGTTACTACTGCTCGGCTTAGACTCTGTTACAAGTATCTCTGGGAATTCTCATTATCTGCTGATGTAGACCTGACCAAATGTAAACTCAACAAAATTATTCGCACACCCTCCGTCACTATGTGATGGAGTGCGAAAAGATACGTGAATTTAGAGACAATTCTATAACCAATGTTCCAGCGATGTGTCAATATTTCATTCAAAATGATCTGCTAGCAGAAATTTTAGCCAAATATCCCCAGTTTGCTAACTGTAGGTAGTAACTAAGTGATTGTAACCTATCCACCGCTGCCCACTGGATGGGGGGCGGTGTGCAGGACAAACATATAAATTATGAAACTAGCTCTCCACATATGTCAGTTGCTTAATTTAGAACCTGTACTTGAGGTCGATCTCGAACCCATTGTTGATGTGACGACTTATACTGAATTTTGTAACTAGCTCATCAAGATTGTAACTTGCTTAGCTAAATGAATTGTGGGGTTCAGTCCCTGAGCCCATTATGTGCCTCTGTAACCCTTTCCACTACCGCCCACAAGATGGGTATGGAGTGCATAATAAATGAACTAAACTAACTTACCTCTCCATTAACTCTGAGGTTACGGATGCAGCCTCGGAATGGTTGTTGTGAGAGCTGGGTAGGCCAGCCGTGGTGCTGATGGAGGTGTGGGAGGGCGCGGGCCAGACCCCCCACTTGCAGGGGGGCAGCAATACCCAACACCTGGTCCTGGGTAGGCAGTGGCGCCGCTAGCCGACACTCCCCACCTTCTTGACACCGATCTACAATCACCTCCACTTTCTGTCAAGAGAAATTTGAAACGTGAAATTTTGCACACCAAGTTAAAAAAAACAATACTTCTTAGTCAAGCATTCATCTTCAGTTTCCTTTAAAGTATGCATTTGTATGACAGAGCTTGGAGTAAATTGTATACTAATCACAAAGCAATAATGCTATATTAATAATTTTTTTTATATTAAAACCTGAAAGTAAAGTAGTAAACTATTGAAGACTAAAGAGTAAGATCCCACCTGACGCGCCACGACCAGGTCAAGACGATGCCAGCGGCCGTCAGCGAGGGAGGGCACCAGGTGGCCCTCGGAGGGGTCCAGGAGGACGGGGCTCGTGCCCAGGTCGACCAGCACCTGGGGGCGGCCTCCTACGAGCTCCAAACTCACCACGTCCTCCTGTGTGCCATACACAATGTTAAAACTTTCTTCGGAGAAAAATTTTCAACTTCCTCTCAAGTGAAGAAATATAAGAGAGATTCGTGCTAAATTCACCGATTTAACCCTTTGTAACGTTTGGGATTGTAACCACTATGAAATAAAAACTGCGCTCACATTTACAGTGATATACACACACACCCTATACCTGTACATTCTTTACAATTTATCACTATACATACATTACAGTGTATCACTGTATCAGTGATACACACCCCCTATATTCTGCAGGCAGGGACATACCTGCAGAAGCCTTGCTCCTGGGGGCAGCAGGTCATCAGCAGGTCCGGCGTACAGCAGGAGACAGTCGGGGAGCGTAGTACGCAGCTCCAGCGTGATGTGAACCTGGGTGCTGACTGGGATGGGGGCCGCCCACGCCCACCCTCTACCTCGGAAAAACCGACTCAGCTGCTTACACACCGACCCGCTCGTGTCTTCTGGACACACACACCTGGGATATTGAAAACACTCACTGTACTTAGCTACATCAGTGACTACAAGGAGGTGTAGTCTAGTCCTTCATTCTCGGCCTAGTAGCCTTTTTATTTGTCGCTTTGTAATTCAATAATTGACGTTCGAATTCTTTGTCGAATCTGACTTTAAAGTTGTGGATTGAGATGACTTATACAACTTCTTTCAGTGTAGTTACAACAGCAAGGTATTGTATGAAAGTGTTTATAAACGGGCTCTATGACTGTAATTGGTATGTGAAATTAATAAGATAAACGTGTTAGTGTCGTTCAAGTTCAAGTATGTTTATTGAGATAAGCAATAAATACATCTCAAAGGGATAGAGTAGCTTAGGCTATTTCTACCCCCCTGTTAGTGTCGTTACTGGTGGTTATGACTGACTTTTCACTTGTTCATGCTAGCTCAGCCTTAAGGTAAAAGAAAGTGTTAAATTGTGAGGGTTGTACTAGGAGATTAAGTACAATCTCCCAGTACAACCCCCCCAAAACCGAGTACAGTTTATGGAGGTTGTACTGGGAGATTGTACACATGTGCGAGTACACACATTACTGTGCTACCATGACCATTCATATACGTTGCTCACCATGACATACCTTACTACCAATAAAATGTATCCTAAAATTATTTTAGAATATTTAGACTTATCACGAAGAGTTAGAGTGCAGCTGAGGACATGAACGAGGAGACGAGCCAGACCCCTGACAATGTTCACACGCTTTCTACACCTCAAAACTTTGCCCATCCATAACAAAAAAAAGTATTAAACGACAAATACCGATATAGTATTAATTCATTACAATTCATTAATGAACGTATTCAAATGTCCCAAGTTTTTTTTTACTGCAAATTGCTGTCCAAAGAGATAACAGGTGTTGATAATACTAATAGAGACTAATAGATCTGATCAATACTAAGTATTTTTAAAGTGCATTTCGTGTTGATTGCGTCGGCACAGATTCATAGCGACATGTAGCCCGATTATATTTGAGAGATAATCAGATTTCGTAATCATGAATTAAAAAAAATATGAAACGAGGTAATTTTAATACTGCCAAATTGCCTAAAACTGAAAAAATTATCCCCAAGATCAACGATATAACATTCCTATTGTCTCTAGCAGTGTTGCTTATATTTTTGCCTTAATCACTATCAATGATTACCTTGCGGAAGTCATGACGCCATAGCCCGTGACTGGACAAATAGGCAGTTTCCCCGAAGCCTTCTCCAGGCACCTGTTGCAGCTCTACTCACAGTGGGCGAGTAGAGCATACACAGTGCTATACATAGTGTATACACAGAGGTGTATACACAACTGTATTACCACCCATTTCCATATACTGTATAATAATATAATAATATTTTATTTAGGAAAAGTACATACATAGATGCAGTTACAAACATTCTAATTGATTTATAGATAGAGCTAGTGCATACAATACCTAAAGTACGCATAGCGTTTCGGGCAAGGTGAGGTGGGGAAAAACCACTTAGACTAAAACTTAAAAGTAATTGAGCTTAAAGTATAAATTGCGTTGAAAGAAAAAGATAAAAAGGGGGGGAACATGGTAGAAAATAGCCAATATACAAGTTGGTCAACAAACAGCATTGTTTAAAAAAAAAAAATAGTAAGACATGGGTTGACATTTAAGGGTAAGGTATGTTACATGGAGTTAATTAGGTAGTACTTAGTTTTCATCTTATAGGCAAAGTACTAAATTTCTAAACAATGTTCAGGACTCAAGTATACATACAGGATTAGTAGGCTATTGTGTATGGGGTGCACAATAAACTAGCAGCCTTCGGCGGCAACAATCAATTGTGTCGGCCTTAACCCCACAGAGGCTGACAGACCTTAAGCTCAAACACAAGTACCAAGTTGAAGAGCGTGAGAAGTGCTTGTGAGCAGCTGGCAAGTCACCTGGGGTGGCGGGTGTGGGCGACGCAGCGGCCGCCGTTGAGGCAAGGATTGGGGTGACAGGAGGCGGGCTGGGTGACGGCGGCGACACTGGGGTGGGCGGCGGCGCTGTGTGTCACCTGTCGCGGGTGGGCCAGCTGTGGACGGTAGGCGTGACAGCTACACCCGCTGTCCGACACCTGCAGGCGCGGGGTTACAAGGGCCGTCCTGTTGGCGTCCACCACCCACACTCCGCCGCCCTTGGAGTCCTCTGCTGCAGGAGCCATCACACACATGCCCACACCCACACTCGCAACGCTTACGCCAGACTCGGTTGATATCTGCAATGAAGTTATGGGTTATTTATCCCTTTCCAAGATAAGTAACTTGGGAATATTCTTAGGATACAGGTATAATTAATTTTAAGACTGCTCAAGATTTATTACTTATGTATACAAATTTGCATTTCAAAGGCGAGCAGAGATATGTTCAGCGTGACGGCACTTAGGTTAGTGGATCTCGTGAGCAAGGCAATAGGGGGGGGGAGATGGCATTAGTGCTGTTATTGGTCTAAGGTATGCTAGATTAGGGCTTATGGTGCTATTTGCAATTGCAGGCGATGAGTCACAATAACGTGGCAGAAGTATGTTGACCAGACCACACACTAGAAAGTGAAGGACGACGACGTTTCGGTCCGTCCTGGACCATTCTCAAGTCGTCCTGGACTTGAGAATGGTCCAGGACGGACCGAAACGTCGTCGTCCCTTCACTTTCTAGTGTGTGGTCTGGTCAACTATTAGCAATTATTCCTAGTTATAGAAATTATTTAGAGGTGCTTAAAGTGCTTATAGCCAGTATGACTAACATGTGGAAAGGATGTGGCGACAGTCTGGAAGCTGGGATAGGATGATATGATTGAAAAAACAGTGCCCAACCACTCGGATCATCTAGGATTGAACGCCGACCATGCAAGCAGCGAGGTCGTCGCTACACCGACCGGTCCAAGTAGCTGTACAAAATATATCCAGCTCCTAAGCACACAGGCCTATCAAGACATAACTAGGATGTGCAGAAACTAGCAAATTAGTAGTTTCAAACACAGAGATATTTACCTTGCGACGGTGTAGGAGGAGGAGCTGATCAAGAGGCTGCCGAGACCTGGCGGTGAACCACACCCTGGCCCCCGCCTCCCTGCTGCTGCTGCTGACGGAGGAGGACTCCTGCACCTCCAGGGAGAGCACGCCCACGCCCACCCCAGCCACCCGCTCCACTGATGCTGTCAGGGCTGCCAACGGGGAGCTCCCTTCATGCTGTGTTCCAAGACCAAATCCCAGAATTACCCAAAACAATTGATAAAAAATTCTATAGATGTTTATATTTCACTAGTAAGGGAAGCTAGTGTATATACTTCAGCGGGTGCACTGGTATATCTGTGTCGTACTTAAAAGCCAGACTTGCCTAACAAGCCGAATTTTCCTGAAATATTTTTTCAAACATTTTCTCTTATGTATCGTTGAAAATTTTTCATTGTATGGGTATTATTTTTTCTATGCAAAGGTACAGGTATTTCTGAGTCAAAACTAACAAATTTGACAAAGCCTAACCAAATCCAAACCTATTCTAACCTGTCTTAACCTATCTTACGTAATTCATGATCCCAATAATAGAGTTACTTGGTAACGTGACTGAGGGGAGGAGCGTTACCTTATGAGGGGTGACTAAGAGGGCAGGGAGGGAGGGAGGGAGGAAGGGGCACGTGTTACCTGGCGAGGGGTGACGAGGGCGCGGGGGTCGTGGGAGGTGAGGAGGGCGGGGACGGCGCAGGAGACCACGTCGCGACCCACGCTGCTGACGGAGACGCTCACGTTGGCCGACACGTCTCTCTGGCCCTGCGTCACGTCACTCACCAGGAAGCCCAGCTCGTACCTGTCAAAGTCACCAACGTCACCAATCATCATTTTATCTCACCAATCATCATTTTATTTCACCAATCATCATTTTATCTCTATACCCCCGCCAGGAGACCCTCCGACACCACTGGGGTGAGTCTCCCTGGGGAGGGGGAGAGGGGAAGGGGACAAGGGAAGGGACAAAAGAAGGGGGAAAAGGGGAGGGGGGAAGGGGGGACACGGAACGCCTTAAAAAATTGTCCACTTACGTGCCGTCTGGGGCGTGTCCACTCATGGTGAGGTGTCCGGTGTGGGCGTCGAGGGTGAAGAGCGGGTGTCCATGCCCGCCGCCCTCCACCCACGCCCACGTCTTGTCCCCGGCGTCCCAGTCGTCGGCGTCCTCCACGTACACACGGCCCACTGGGATAGGCACGTCATCCCCCTGTCCGTTGTGGCGAAATGGGGTTAGTAAAGCGTGTGTGTGTGTGGGATAGGAGGGGGCAGTGTAATGTGTGTGTGTGTGTGTGTGTGTGTGTGTGTGTGTGTGTGTGTGTGTGTGTGTGTGTGTGTGTGTGTGTGTGTGTGTGTGTGTGTGTGGGGGGGGGGGGGGGGGGGGGGGGTGGGGGTACAACAGACACTATCTAAAATGACAACATGCATCAGGAATCAGCCCCCAGACAGTACACTTGCGCTACACTTGCCAAGATTTGGCAAGTGTAGCGCATGCTTTGGTACACAATGATGTAATGAACCTTGCCAATCCTCCAGCACAGACATCACACCCGCCGCAACACTGACTAGCCTTGCGTTCGCATTCGTAAACCTACTAAGCAGAACACCTTAACAAAAGCATTCCGACACACACAAAGCTCCTGAATTCCTGAGCATAGTGCCACTATAACCTCGAACTGCAGTCATAAATATACCCAGATTAGGGCGAGGGAGAATTAAGAGAGTTATGGGTGTTCAATCACTGGTCGGAGGATCGGGGGGCTTTGAAAAGAACTCTAATAAACCCCCCTGGCTATCCACCTGAGGTTTATAGTGAGGACATAAACTTGTGGAGCTGTGTGGGTGACGGCCCCTAGCCAGCTCTTCCCTCCCTCCCTGTCGCGGGGCTCGCTAGCCGCCTTCTGTGCCTCCAACACGGCTGTTGACCTATGGTGCTGACGCGCGCTTTCCTCTCCTCATTTGTGGGACTGAGGGAAGCTGAGCTGGAGTAGCAATATGGGAGGGAGGGAGGGGAAGACTGGCGAAGAATATTGAGAAAGTTACCTGCCCTAAGTTACCATGGAGCTATTTATTACTGATGAGATATTGGCCACTGGGTCTCGGGTCTATAAATTACGTGGCGAGGCAGGTAGCCTCATTACCAGAGGTTTTTCTAAACACCAGCTCCTAAAATATGGCCATCATGTGCGATAGACTGGCCGGGACGTAAACACTTGGGCTATATGGCCGAGTGTGTGAAAGCTGGTGAATAGTCATAATAGTATATATTTTATATATGTGTAAATCACGAAAATTAACGCGATGAAAAATGTGACAGTGTCAGACCACGGAAGAAGAATTGAAACAGGAATTTCCTTAAGTACTTTCGTATATTAATACATTTTCAGAATGAATGTATTCCTTCATTCCTTCTGAAGATGTGTTAATATATGAAAGTACTGAAGGAAATTCCCGTTTCAATTCTTCCTCCGTGGTCTGACCCTGTCATATTATATATAATATATACACACACACGCTATTCTCACGAGAACTTTTTAATATAATTGCAATATTACGAGTTTTCTGCGGGGGTTATTTTTTAAAGAACTGATGAAGTAAATTCAATATAAAAGAGCATAAACAAAACGCAGAATAAACAAAGGATCAAACATTGCATGGCACATTGTGTGACGTGTCGGTCACTCGCTCAGTAAGGGACGTACACACCATCCGTGGCTTCGAAGAAAAACGATAAGCTATTAGTAGCGGTCACTCCAGTAAAAGGGAACATAATAATCTGTTTGAAAGTATGTGAAACAAACTGCCCGCTAAAAACATCAGTTTTCTTAACTTTCCCGCCAAAATATTCGCCGCCTTAGCCTTCCCGCCAAAATTTCCCATTCTCAGCGCTGCAGAAATATAATAGGGTAAAAATAAGCGTGGTTCTAATAACAATCCATCCTTTCTCCCGTCCATCTCTTGGTCCAACAGTTAACTGTCCAAGACAGTCACTGACCAGCAGAAACATAACTGGCGAATCCCAACATATATTAGTATCATACTTTACAATGCCAGTAAAGGTAATGCGATGATAATGTTCCCACTTTACGGGAGTAGGATACTTAAGCCGAGGAGGAAGAACAAAGGAACGTCTGGACTCGGGGAATTAAAGATGGGGAAAATTCCTGTTCTTGAGGAGACGTAAGAGAAAATTTGCATCTCAATGAGCCGAGAACAATAGCGCATCGCTCCTGGCAAGGGATGGCAGCCCACGGACCAGTGAAGGCATGATAAAAAAAATAAAAAACATCTCCCCCCCCTTCAAGTTTTTTTTTAACAGCACTCTTTACTGTATATTTACATTTCCAGTGGCCCCAGTTCCCACATGAATTCTGAAATGACACCAGAGTACAACTACACATGCAGGCGATGAGTCACAATAACGTGGCTAAAGTATGTTGACCAGACCACACACTAGAAGTTGAAGGGACGACGACGTTTCGGTTCGTCCTGGACCATTCTCAAGTCGATTGACTACACATACTGGATCCTGAGGCATATTGTATATACGTCATGGTTAACAAATGGTAATTTATAATAATTTAATTAAAATACTTAATGAACCAAAGTGGTTATTACTAAAAATAATTTGTTTTGGAGCTAGAAGCTTATTTCAGCACGTGTAAAGTTAATGATTCCAAAAGTGTGTCAAATTCCAGCGACGGTTGTGGCATGTTGAGGTATTCGCTGATTTAGCTAAAACTAGAGATGTAAAGAGTGTAGTGTTGTGACGCACAGAAACAGCAGTAAGTCTTTCTGGTGAGGTGGTCGTTGGTGTCCTTGGTCAGGCATGACCCCCGAGGTACTGACTGCACGCTGAGGGCTCTTGGAAGGCACGGGAGACATCTCCCGTCACGCAGGGTGCAGTCGCATCTCCACAGATCACCAGTATCATCTATTGATACTGGTAATGGTTCAAAAGGGCCAGCACTTATGGGCTATGCCACCCTTTAGGTGGCTTAATCTTCATCAATCAATCAATCTTGGAAGGTCTCTTGGGGGTGGGAGGGACGAGGGACGTGTTTGTGCTCCGGTAACTCCTCAGGTACTGCAAGACGTCTCCGGCGAGGCCTGTGGCACTTGTTTGGGGTCTTCTCCAAGAAAGGCGCCCAAACAAGTCTAGGCGGGACGGGGCTGATGTGTGGTCAATTGGAGAGATCGTTGGACACTATCAAGTGATATATGTCTCACTCAATCATCATTAAATAAAACTTTTCAAGAGACTTCATCTCTCTCTCTCTCTATTATTGGCGAAAGAGAAAACAAATTAATTACGAAACTCGGCCATTCTGTCTTCCAAGTGAAATTATTTCCTTAATAATATAGGCAGATTTTGTCCTCATAAAATATACCAATCTTACATAAAGTTCGCCACATGAACTTATTTTACTCCACAACCAATCGTTTCCTCGCTCTATCCTTTATTTGTTTAATATATAGAAGTCTGTCGACGTGAAATTTCCTCGATGCGGAAGGGACGCTGTTTTGCGTAAGTTTATTAGTGAAATACAGTACCAGAACACGCCGCCCGCCTGGTTCAGCAGAGCAGAAAAACTCCGTATATTTATATATTAACATTATTCAATTCATAACTGAATAATACAAAGAAAACGTGGACAAAGAACCAAAACAAATTCTTGTATCGTCAAAACGTCCGTGAACGAAGTAGCTTTGTGCCTTTATGCTTTACAGGATTTAATTTGATTTACTCTTGAATTATTCATAGATTAATAACCAGAGAGTAATCCTGTGTACACTACAGCTTCACAGGCACCTGATCATATGAAGCAAATCAACAACAGATCCGGCTGTGCAGAGGCCCAGGCCCAAGGATGAAAAGGTTTGACAAGAGACATTCTTTGTATTCAGTTACATTTGCTTCCATACTAGTAACAAAGACATTAAATATTACCCAAGGACAAGGCTACTGGATCATCATTGGTATTGTTGTGTATCCCCCATCATGTACTCGTGACGTTATAAAGTACAAACATTTGACTTTGTACGTTGTTTCCATCTGTTCGGAACTGCTTCAAATTATACGAGTACTAGTATGAAGGACTAAGCAGGAGGGTTGCTTGAAATCCAGGCAACACATCGAATCTTATATGAAACTTCACTATTTACGAAGAAAAATGGATATATGTTTACAAGTGCAGACAGCAAAAAGCACCCTATTGAAAACAAATATCAGCTCGGTTCTAAAAAAAAAAAAACCGCGAAGGAAAAACAAGCCAACCAAAAATATAGACGGAATCAAACCAGTAACATTTCCATTCAAGATACATATCGTAGTTTTACGAAGCTTGCAGCGAAGTGGGTTAGTGAGATGTTTATACCCGAGGGGTGTGGCAAGTGTGGCACACGTTGTGGGGGTGTGGCACACGAGGGAGGGGGGGGGGGGAAGGTGATAGAGCATGGGATGTGGAACATGGGAGGTGTGTGAAACATGCTCCACGCCCCGTGTTCTATACACGTGTGGAGCATGGGGTGTGCAGAAAATATGGGGGCATTGAGGGCGCACGAGCGTGTATGGGGCTTACTTAGCTGCTTACTCTAGAAGTTGTAGTGTGTGTACACATTTACCGTTACTGCAGCACCTACAGGCTGCTGCTGCTGCTGGAGGTACTGCAGACACTGGGGGAGAGAGCCGTCTGCGTATGGATGCCTTACCCAACCAACTCTTACGGTACCCAAACCAACCCAACCTTAACAAAACTAGCCTAACCTAACACACATGGACCGAAGAGCCAAAGCTCAACCCCCGCAAGCACAATCAGGTGAGTACAGCTGAAGTCGATACATCCTAATTTAACGACATGTATACGGGTTTAACATCATAAAAACGTGCTTTAGTGAATAATTTTCGTGTTTTCGTGTGCAATTTTTTTTTCTTCTTGATAGTAAGTGCAGTTTGCATGAAGGGTTTGTACAATTTGACCATTCCCCCATCGCAAGCAGTGTGGTTTAGTACCTGTAGAGTGAGGTCACGAGGTCAACAGTATCAAGAGCTGTTGCTCCGAGTAGCTCTGGAGTTTTTACTATATTTTGGTGATAAATGTGTATGAAACTTGAGTGACAAGTTCAGAGGTAAACTGTGCAAAATGGCGGACAACCAAATTATTGAAGTTATCAGCAAATGTAGTCTTGTCAGTATTACATTACCGAAAAAATATTCAGAACGATTTTCTTATCCACACTTGCTGCATATTTAAATCATTGTTACCGGATATATATACTACATGTCTGCATGACATCTTTTAGTGTCTTAAATGTTTATTCAAGAGATAAAAAAATACTACCGGTGTTACGACAACACAACGAGTGCCAGAGACAACATATTGGGCGCAACCAACCGTTCACCTGTAAACATATTGACGTCAGCCACTCCCCAAGATCAATAAACTCTGGCCAGGAAGTCGGGGTTTACGAAACTGTATATATATATATATTAGGTTCAAAGCGTGAAATTATATCGCTTTATACAGCTTTGAAATGCCTGAAAATGTTGTTTAATCGATGACATCAGTCCGGATGAAAGAACCGCGTTGAGGTGGACATTGGACAGTATTATGAGAAGAGCTGTGAGTGCAGGGGGAATGTTAGACACGCTCGAGTGCAAGAGTGGAGCTAAGAGTGCGTTCTCCAACAACCCAGAGACCGAAAATGTGCACAGGAAGCCACCTTGAGTGAGGATGGCGACTCCGCCGCCCACCACCAGTCGTGGGGTGCCTATACACTCCCCCGCTCCCATCACCCGTGGCAACAGTCCCTGCTGGAGAATTGTCTACTGATTTGGTGACGAGAGAACAGCTCGGCGCTATGTGCGCCTGGACCGAGGTGCAGCAGACTCTGAAGTTCCCAATGAGCCTTCGATTAGGTTAGAAAAGTCATTAAAATTTTAATTGGATAACTATTTTTTTGGAGGTAACTGTATGAGGTGAGCCTGAGGTAGACAGACAGACAGAGACAAAGAGACAGGCACAGGGGGTGGGAGGGAAGAGGCGTTGCCAAAGTTTGCAACTTACTGAGGTTATAAAAGCGACCTTTTAGATGGCGGGAGAGACTGGACGGGTGGTAGTGAATAGGAAAGATCACAACTACTGTGTTCTTCCTTTGGCAGTAGAAAAATGGACGGTTTCTCGTCTTATGACAAGACATAAGAAGGGTAGCAGCAACCGGCATGTTCGTCATATGACAAGCGAGACAACTGTTGACGGACACCTGTCGAGTCTCGTGACAGACAGGCATCCACAAAGACAGAAGAAGGAGGTAGTGGGAGGGGAGAAGGGGGCTCATGAGAAATGACATACATGACAACTTCAAAACTACAGTGTCCAGAGACAGTGATAAAGAAACAACACACAGCTACACCAACAACACACACACACACACACACCTACAGCAGTAACAAACACACAAGTGAACAAGTGTGCAAGTGAACTGGCAGAAAGGGTGCAGGAAGAAAACCCAGATGTAATAGGACTCACGGAAACAAAATTGTCAGGAGTCATAACAGACGCTGTGTTTCCAAAGGACTACAGTACTATATAGTAAGGAAAGAAAGGGAAGGGAAGGGAAGGGAGAGGAGGTGGAGGAGTGGCCCTGCTGATAAGGAAGGACTGGAGCTTTAAAGAGATGGAAATTCCGGGCTGTGACGGATTCAGAGATTACATAACAGGAACTATAACAATGGGTGGACCTAAGTTAATAGTGGCAGTCATTTACAACCCTCCACTAAATGATAGAAGACCCAGACAGCAGCTCCATACACAGTTTCAAATGTAGATATGATAAGAGCCCAGTAGGCTCAGGAATCTGTACACCAGTTGAGAGGCGGGACCAAAGAGCCAGAGCTCAACCCCCGCAAGCACAACTAGGTGAGTACACAGCTACACCAGCAACAAAACACATGGATGTAGCACAACATACTGTGAAGGCATGACCATGGAAGTAAGAGGCCCGAGAAGCTTTCAACAGAAGTGTACAAAGGTGATATTAGTAGATCAAAGTATAGAGACAGACGACCAGTATCTTGGTGACGAGGGGGAGGTGTTTCAGAAATCTTGAAAGAGTGAATGGTTTGCGCGGTAAGAAGAGCCTCCTGGAGAAGACACTTCAGTATCACTCCCTGATGAGGAGGTCCTGGGAGACAGTATGGTGCCGAAGCTACAGTTACATAAAATAAAATTTTTGTGTACGATTTAAAGAGCGCATTTTGCATCATTTGATATTAAAGAAGATTTAAAAGATCAATGGCACAGGTGAGGAACAGGGCCTATATTCTTGCCATCCATTTGTTATACTGTATATACAGGCTCCGGCTTACCATTGACCGCTACAGGTGTTCAACAACCATAAATACACACACCTGCGTGTCCAGAAACCCAGACACACTTCAAGATGTTGCATCACCAAATACCACATTCACTTCAAATGTGTACCACCTACGGGCTATCCATGCCCGTGTCACCTCTTGTGGTGGCTTGATCTTAAAGAACAAACAACTGCGTATCAGGAGCAGGTACGGGTGTCCCACACAGCCACAACACAACACCTACCCTGAACCTGACGACGCTGACGGTCTTGTTGGCGGGCCTCATGGGGTTGTCGTTGAGGTCGGCGACGGTGACTGTGATGGTGGCGGTGGCAACCAAACTGCGGGCGTCGCCCAGCACCAGTGGCAGGAGCCGCGTCACCGCCTCCTCCCGGTCCAGCGGCCCCAGCGATGTCACTACCACCACTCCGCGTCCTTCGTCGCCTTCTGCGGGAAAGACTCGACCTGACTTATTTGCTTCCTGTTCCAAGGCTACATGTCTAATATCACTTCCTGGAACAAACTTACAGTAAACTTACAAAAAAAGCTTACTACTTTTTTTTCGAAGTGAAACTGTTAGATAATTGCTACTTTGTTTTGTAGCCTGGAGTTTAATTATAATGTCTGCAGCAAAGTCACAAACAAAATATAAATGGATCCAGCAGGCAAAAGCCGCTCTTCGTGCAAGACAAAGGTCACATGTAGCTCAGCAACTCACATGCGTTGCCGAGCTACAGTAACGCGTGGCCGGGTACAGCTAGTTTATAAGTATAAAAAAAAAAAAAAATTATAAATATATATATATATATATATATATATATATATATATATATATATATATATATATAAAAATTCAGTCTGATTTTAGTACAGAAGAAAAACTGTAAAAAAAATAGGTCAAGTGGGAAGGAAGGATATGGAACAATAGGTCAAGACCATATCCTACTTCCCCACTATTTTGTATCGTTACTGTATCTGCTGATACAGTAACGTGATGCATCAGCTGATGCATCACGTTAATGCGATTTCACTGAGCATGGGGGAAGGACAGATATCTTAAAGGCCATATTAAAAATGGTCTTAAATTTGGCATACATCTTTTGTATCCAGTTGGAAGAGAACTTTCCTGGGTCACTTTCATACTAGTACCCACTTAAAAGGTTACTTATCTGTATACGATTTTGTTAAGAATTCTCTATCATCGTACATTTCATTTTGGGATAAATTAAATTAGTGCAATTAACAAATTAGTAATTTGTGCCAATTAAATAATGTGCAAGCTGCCCTTCCACGATGTCTAAACTAGTGAGCTGCTGGTATGGTCAGCAGTATACATGTAACATTATGTGATTTGACACACATTTACACACATATCTAAACGTAAACATGCAAAGTATAGGCTCAGAGCCCCGTCACAACACCGTATACGCACTTTCGTCGAAGTCGACAGCGAAGGTCTCTTTAATGTGGGCCGGAGCGTCGTCGGCCAACTTGACGGTGAAGGGCGGGCCGTGTCCCAGCGACCAGTCATCGGCGTCGTCCAACTTGAGGTCGCCCACGTGCCGGGGACCGCTGTTCTCCAGCACGTACAAGGTGTTGGGGTTGGCCACGTTCGGGCCGTTGTCATTGACGTCGGTGACGTCGAGGAGGAGGGTGGCGGTGGAGGTGCGGGCGGGAACGCCGCTGTCCACCGCCAGCACGTGTACCACGTGTCGCGGCGCGGCTTCACGGTCCAGCTGCCGACGGAGATGCACGCGGCCCGCGGAGTCGACGGCGAATAGCCTGAAGGGGTCGCTGCTGGGGTCGATGGTGTAGCGTACCTCGTCCTCACCGCCCTGAGAGAATCACAAACATACATGAGCTGAACCCTACCAACCCAACACCCACGAAATATTTGTGCAGTCTTAAACGTTTACGATCTTCTGACTAAACTTTCGCCCGAGACAGTTTCTAAGGCAAGTTTATACAAAATACGGCAATCATCTTAGCAAATTAAATTACATTTGTACTTCAGTGACATGAGATTAGCCAATTACCTAATTGGTAAGACAAAAGTTAAACAAAATATGCAAATATAGTCAGTTTTTGAGGTCATATTAAGTATTTTATATTCCCTCTTCATACTGAGAGACGCTCAGTAGCCACCGAGCCGTGCACAGGTCTGTAATGGGTCCTGTGCACCACGTCAGGTCACTGTCATGGGTCCTGTTCACCACGTCAGGTCACTATCACTGGTCCTGTGCACCACGTCAGGTCACTATCACTGGTCCTGTGCACCACGTCAGGTCACTATCACTGGTCCTGTTCACCACGTCAGGTTTCCAACTAAAAAAAAAAAAAAAAAAAAAAGTTAAAAATGCTAATTTGGGGGGATTTTAGTTTGAGCGAGGCGAGGCTGGAGAGAGAGAGAGACCTGATCCCTGTCGGTGGCGGTGAAGGTGGTGAGGTGCTGGCCGGCGGGCGTGTCCTCTGAGAGGGTGAGGTTGGCGGAGTGGGCGGAGAGGTCGGGGGCGTTGTCGTTGTCGTCCACCAACGCCACCACCACCCAGGTCGTGTCCATGTGGTCGTCGTCGTCCCAGCGATCTTCCTCCTGATGGGGGGAGCAACGTCAGCATGGGTGTCTCACCTCTTACAGTCTCCGGCGGCAGTTTATGACCATCAGGTACTCGGAGCCGTGACTAGGGTTCGAACATATGCTCTGGGTACTCCCAAACACACGCTTTAGACCACTACACCACGACATGGTCAACAGCAATGCAACCTGGGCTTCAACTGATTCCTCTAGGGGCCCTGAGGCTTCAACTGAAGCCAAGTCAGGGTTTCAAGCATTGCGCCCATGCACTGTGGCTGTGGTCTAGGGGGCTTCACCTCCAACTCTTCTCTTAAAGTGCACAAGATTTAATCCCAGGTTGCAGTTCCTACACGTCATGTAAACTGTTGTGGAAGTTTAGTTCTTCCCAGAGTATATTTTACAACCACCTTCATGTATAAGACAGGAATCCATGCCATTAAATTGCACGGACCCAGTATGATTAATAATAATAATACTAATTTACTAATAATTGCTAATATTAAACAGAGTATTCACACTAAGGTGATGTATCCATGAGAAAATCCGTAGGAGCCGTGATGAGGATTCGAGCCCATGTGTTGAGAATTCCCAGGCACACGCCCCGGACAACCAGGCCACGACATGGTGAAAAGGATCGCAACCTGGGGTTCTATTCCTATTCATGTGTTCGAATCTTCATCACGGGTCTTACGGATTATTATTATTTGAGTATAAAACAAGTCACAGCGGTGTCGGGAAGTGTAACACTATTAGTCACGTAGCCCAATGTAAACATCATGTCTGGTAAGTGTAAAGTGACCATAGTACACACAGCGATGGGTTAAATATTCACCACGATTTACAGTTACACAACTAATGGGCCAATACTATAATTCGCTAATCAAATATGGATCTTGGAGGGCGAGGGGGAGACACACACACAAGCTATGAGGAGCGCGTAGTGTGGTGTTTCCTGTAGCTGTCCCCCTCAGGTGACACGAGTCTGCAACTCACGAAGGATAGACAGTCTGGCGTTGCTTGCCATGTAAGCAACACCGTACTTCCCGTTCCCTGCTTGGGTTTGTCTCGGTATTATTCTTATTGTGTGTGTAATGATATTCGTTTGCTAAACTCTCGTTAGTGGTTGTGAGATACAAATCTTTGACCAGCCTGACGTATTAAATGAATCTGCCTTACACCCAAAAATGTTATTTGAGTGTTAGTAAATATTGAAAGTCATGTGTGTTTGCTAGGCTTTGAAATACTGAAGTTTGCTTTTAGCTATATTTTTTTATAGACTAAAGTAAAATATAGTGGTGGTCCATTACTACATATCCGTACTTATAATTACTTACAGTAACTATAAGTACGCTGACTAGTCTCTTAAGACTAGTGGATGCCTACTACTACTAGTCACTATATTTGTGTATAGTTAAGCTTGGCTTATAACAAAACCAGTTGTGATGTGATGTGGTTCTGTTGGCAATTATAAACATTTGCAGGACGTGGGTGAAGTATTTAGAGTAGTCCAAAGTTTATACCGACAAGTTTAGAGGACGGACGGTATTTTACAGTCTTAGTTTGAAACCCTTCCTCTAGAAACTGCAGGAGATTCTCACCTTGTCTGATACTTGAACTTTAAACCGGAAACCCTGTCGCTGAACGGGGTCTTCGTAGTCTAGAGTCTTCACGGCCTGCAGGGCGCCGCTGCCTTGGTCCGAACTGACCAGACGGAACCGCTCCCAACCGAACCCACTGTCCGCCACGATCTGAAGACAGCCCCAATACCCACTGTAAAATTATTTATTAGGTTTAAGAACAAAACAGAAAACATTTATATACAGAGAGTCACACGTGAAACCTTTACAACTTCAAATCACTTTATTTATAAGCAAAATTTGAGGCAAATTAATTCAAAACTAATAATATACTTTACGACTTATATTGAATTTATTTTAAACTAAATGCGAGTTAATATGTCATGAGTTTTATGTATAAATAATGCTGTGATTTAAAGCTTTGTAACGGGTTTGCGAGTCCATTCGATTATAGAGACAGTCAGCAGCACCTGCTAAACTGTCTTCAATACGTCCAGCGACCTGACAACACGTCCAGCGACGATCACATTCAAAGTTATGAAGATCTAAAATTCATTTACTAAAGTCGATATACTCTCCATACCGTTATTGGTCTTGTCTAAATACATGCTGCAGGAATTACTCCCAGAACAGGTAACAAATTACGCATCTTTTACCCACTTCTCTCACGAATATCACTCGCGCCTTGGTGCAAGGAAATTGTGTGTGCAGAAATCCTCGACCATTTAACCAAAACGGAATGAATAAATAAGAGCAATATTTGCATATGTTGCAAGAAGACGGTTCATCTCGTCTTGCAAATGTATCGTGGGTGATTTGTTATAAGAGACACAGTATTAAAGTCGTGTAAATAAGTGCCATGGGATATATAAACCAAGGAGGGGTGTAAACCCGCTTTTATGTGTATATTCACAGTTTACCTTAGTTGTGGCCTGGCCTAAAGTGCACTTGGGGGGCTGGTCAGTCATGACTTGCCTGGCCTTAGTGATACTTCAGAGGCTGAAGCCCAACACAAAATCAAATAAAAGTAAGCCACTTTATCTGGGTCTTAAAATTATACCAACTTGAGTCACATGTTAAGAAATCAATCAGTTCGAGGATGGACAACATCGCAATTATATTCGTATTACAAGACTGCAGCGTGTGAAGCCGCCAGCACAGACCGGTACAAGTGTTGGGATACCTTGCTTGGGGATGGGGATGTTTAACGCTGCTAGGTCCCCGATAACACTGTGCAGCCCTGCTAGGTGCCCGATAACACTGTGCAGCGCTGCTAGGTGCCCGATAACACTGTGCAGCGCTGCTAGGTCCCCCGATAACACTGTGCAGCGTCCCCCTCTGTCTCACACTGGATAAGGCGGAATAAAAATCCTGGAGATTTTGCCACACGAAGCTATAAGAATTATTCTTGGGCGTCAAAGAAATACTATTCAGTTCCTCTTCGGCAGCGGCTCACTGCTCACGTAAAGCAGAATAGAGTAGAGAGATAACAGGATGCTCTGGGTAGACTAACTATCTTCGTACCACTGCAGCCCTACGTCGCCTCTGTGGACACAGACAAGTCATCAGTAAACTGGCCAGTACTGGGGACACTAGGAAATACTAATTACGGACTCTGACATAAACATACAACTCCTCCCACAATAGATGGCGCTGATTTCTAGGCGCCACCTCACCAGAGGTCAGCTACAGCGACTCTTCGGGCTGACCAAGACAGGAATCTAGAGTCTCTGACGGGTATCCTACAGCCACCACCAGATGGCGTCGTCCATTTTGTGGGGGTATAGGGAGCAGACTCACAGATGGCGTTGACGTCGCTGCTCCATGCTCCGACGATGAAGTCTGGTTCGTAACAGATAGAGAACGCGACATTAACACTAGGTCATCTATTTGCTTCATGAGGAGGAGAGGAGGGGATAAGCTCTTGTAAAGCGTTCAGAATTGCTTATATGACGTGGAAACTTGCAGGAACCAGAGACGTGTTCCACCAGGGGATTGGCTAATTAACTCAGGGAATAGGACGTACTTGACAGCTGCAAACACACTCCACAGTGTAGTAAAACTCCTCCCTGGAAGCTACGGAAAGTCGAAGTAGAAATTGTACATCTCAATGGAAAGTCTGCGCATGATCCGGGACAACTACGGTCTTTGTAAGGAGGTATGATTTCTCTCTTCGCAAAACAGTAATTTGCACGTATACGGTGAGGAAAGGTGTGGTGTCCTGATAAGGGACACCTTCCACTCAGTATGGAATTGTGGACAGGAAAAATTGAACTTTGACTCAGTAATTATATTTCATCCACACAAGATGAACTGCAGGCCATGCTGGCTGGTTTCGACGAAGAAGCTCAAGACGAAAAAGATATTTCCGTATTTGCAGACGAGGAGTTACAATAACGTGGCTGAAATATGTTGACCAAACCACACACTAGAAAGTGTAGGGACGACGACGTTCCGATCCGTCCTGGACCATTCTCAAGTCGATTGTGAAAACGTTTCACAAAACGAAACATTTCCGTATTTGTCGACAGCAGAGGAGCACTCGAGTTATTAAACTGTCGAAATCCAGTCTTCATGTCCATAGTCGAGGATAGTAAGGATAGGGTTAAGTGATATGAAGCTAAATGGACACACAGGTAATTTCATGTGGACTGCATCTCGTGCAGGAATAGTTATCAACGAGGTGGCTGACGAACTAGCCAAATGTGCCACAATAAGTCCACCAGCTGATAGTGAATGTTTGTTAACCATCTTATCTTGAGGTTATCTTGAGGTTATCTACCATGAAGCATGGTAATGGTTATCTATATGCATGGTTATCTACCATGAAGCAAATACAAGTCAAAATATGATATATTTAAGGGCAGGTGGAAGACGCGAAAAGAATTATATGATGTTGGAGAAGCCAAACCATGACCACACGGGAATCAAAACACCGATTTCATTTATGGTGAAAAGTAAAATGCTTGGATTGACTCAAGCCACGCCCACCACTCGAGACCAGGCCGACACCAGAGCGCAACTCCATAGTCTCCTGAGACTGATGGATGCCTACTGCCTGGGGGTGACTGCGCACAAGCACCCAGGCTTGGGTACAAATATTACTGAGAATATGGAGCAGGTGCTAATGGTAATGAAACCATTGTCAACTATATGGTATGTTAAGGTCTCACACCCTCACCCATTATGTTTTTGACTGCCCGCTGATTAATGTATTTAGAAATACCGAGATAAGGACTGTTTTTTGAACAAATAGTTTGGATGTGTCACAACAGAAAGATTAATTATATTCTGGAGAGAGAGATATAAGAATTTTGCACCAAGATTGTAAACTTTTGTCGAGTGTTAAACTACAGTATGCAATTGTAGCCGATTTACAATATAAATAATAATACTATTATTATATTACAATAGAACCAATGTAACGGTTCTATTGTTACGTAAAGTATGGTGACAAATAAACACAGACCCTAAGATACTATATATATATTTGGTCGAATATACAGAAGTACACCGGTGATACTTTGGTGTGAGTTGAGCGCACTGAGCGTCGGTACAGTATCTCGCAAGTGTCTGCTCTAGACCACACTTGAAAGTAGACTCTGGTTAATGTTTGATTGATTGATTGATTGATGAAGATTAAGCCACCCAAAAGGTGGCACGGGCATGAATAGCCCGTAAGTGGTGGCCCTTTTAAGCCATTACCAGTATCAAGAGCTGATACTGGAGATCTGTGGAGGTGCGAATGCACCCTGCGTGACGCACCCTGCGTATTATTATAAATAATAATACTATTATTATTTATACCTACTTATTATGTACTAATACGAGTATGTGTGTATGTTTAGTAGAATACTAGATGTGTGCAGGAAGAAATGTACATGTTTACCAAACATTCACCGATTTCAAATTTAAAAACTTCACCGCATCAGGTCCGCCTCCTGGAAATGTTGTTTATCCACAACCACCTCTCATACCAGCCCCACGACAACACCAGCCGCCAGACCCCCATACCATCACCACCACCACCACAACAACATACCGCTGTTGTCGTCCCTCCGCCCAGCCTCAGTAAAGCATAACAGCGCACGACCAGCAGACGTAACTCACCCGAAAGACAAAACTGTTGGTTATATCTGGGTCGTCGACGGTGAGGAAGGCGAGTGTGGTGTCGACCTCGACGCTCTCGTGTACCGTCAACAACCACTCTTGCCTCGAGAACTTGGGCGACACGTCGTTCTCGTCTCCCACCGTCACCAGCACCGTTCCTGTACCTGCCGGCGGGAGGTGCACCCCCATGAATCCGTCACAAGCGATAATGTGAAAACACCCTAGCTTAAAATATCCGATTGTTCTCACGTGGCAATAACAACATGGTAGTAGAGCTCAGAGCCCGTAAGAGGGGCTCGGTGCTGACCTTTGAGCCCGCCGCCGTCGGAGGCCACCACCTGGATAGCGTAGAAGGGCGTCCGCTCTCTGTCCAGGCAACACAGGGCAGTGCTGATCCTGTAGAGGGTTACGAAGTTGTGAAAGAAGTTAAGGAAAGAATGAATATTGGTTCCCTTCCCGAGGTATAAATCATAACTAAAGCTACGTATTCACATCTACCATCACTTGCTACACGACTGTTCGACTAAGACATTTTTCTCACGTTAGGTTCATCTTTACAGCGGTGTTCTCTGACATTACCTGCCGGTGTGGGCGTCGATGGTGAAGATGGGCTGGCCGCTGTGTTCGTCGATGACGTTCTTCTCCACGGAGTAGGTGAGGAGGGCGTTGGTGCTCTCGAGGGGGTCGTCGTAGTCCACGGCCACCACCCTGGTCACCTCCGCTCCTGCTGTGACACACCCGCCTCCCTCAGTCATCAACACGTGTATGTGTAAGGGGCCCCTGCATGTGTGTGTGTGTGTGTGTGTGTGTGTGTGTGTGTGTGTGTGTGTGTGTGTGTGTGTGTGTGTGTGTGTGTGTGGTGTGTGTGTGGTGTGTGGTGTGTGTGTGTGTGTGTGTGTGTGTGTGTGTGTGTGTGTGTGTGTGTGTGTGTGTGTGTGTGTGTGTGGTGTGTGTGTGTGTGTGGTGTGTGTGGTGTGTGTGTGTGTGTGTGTGTGTGTGTGTGTGTGTGTGTGTGTGTGTGGTGTGTGTGTGTGGTGTGTGGTGGTGTGTGGTGTGGTGTGTGGTGTGTGGTGTGTGTGGTGTGTGTGTGTGTGTGTGTTGGGTGTGTGTGTGTGGGGTGTGTGTGTGTGTGGTGGTGTGTGGTGTGTGTGTTGTGGTGTGTGTGTGTGTGTGGTATGTGTGTGTGTGGTGTGTGTGTGTGTGTGTGTGTGTGTGTGTGGTGTGTGTGTGTTGGCGTGTGTGTGTGTGTGTGTGTGGTGTGTGTGTGTGTGTGTGTGTGTGTGTGTGTGTGGTGTGTGTGTGTGTGTGTGTGTGTGAACGCTCTTAGAACTGGTATCGATGCTGTAACTGTTAGCATGACGAACGTCTCGAGGTGTAATAGTAGTAATCCTATTATCTGCCTCATTGCAAGGAAAGGAAATTGGGAATGCCAATGGAAAATGTCGGAGTGAGGAACTGCTGCTTGCCATTTTTAGGGAAGGTGTAGATAGAATTACGGCCAAGGGAGATATTCCCAATGATATGGGACCTTCTCCTCATAAAAGGAGTTGGCAATAACTAGGTATTCAGAGCAATTTGTATAAACTGTTGGCCGAATATTAATGCACATTTGAATGCATATTTGAGATGCATAGTTGAATATAGAAAATGGGGAACTATTAGCAAAAATAAAACTTAAGGGATACCATTATATCACAATCATACACAAATTACACGAGGTGAAGGAGTAGAAACATACGTGACATCCATTTTAAACTGTATTGCCAGAGTCTACTAATACAGAGGTACATATTAGCCATCAAAACCTGGACAAATTAGCCATTAAACCTGGAGCATCATGGATGGAAGGATTATCTGGCCAGAAACATCAAGGCATTTTAGGGCATACATGGGCGAACACACCGCTAGAGGCTATAGACTTAAATGTTAGCAGAATGAACTGGACTAATACAACAAGGTAATGTCAAGGCAGAAGACTTTCTCTCGAATTAGTTGAGTACTTTGTAACCACTACATGGAAGGAAGAGTGTCATCTCTCCCACTCCATGGAAGGAAGAGTGTCCCCCTCTCCCACCACATGGCAGGAAGAGTGCTCTCTCTCCCACAACATGGAAGGAAGAGTGCTCTCTCTCCCACAACATGGCAGGAAGAGTGCTCTCTCTCTCCCACAACATAGAATGAAGAGTGCTCTCTCTCCCACCACATGGAAGGAAGAGTGTCCCCTATCCCACCACATGGAAGGAACCCTCACTACAAACCTCATACCGTCCCCTCACAGAGTGAACTTCCCCTCACCACCCCACTCACAACGCGGGAACTTTAGTCATTTATCCTTGGTACACACAACAAGGAACGTTAGCGGCCATCAGCGCCCCGTCACGTCCCACCCACTCACCTGCTCCATCGTTCTCTGGGACGGTGGCGTTGATGGTGAGGTTAGGGAAGAAAGGCGCGTTGTCATTGATGTCCTTGACGTTGACGTGGACGACGGCGGAGGCAGCGTGGAGGCCGTCGGAGGCCGTGATGTGGAGCTCCCAGCAGGCCCTCCCTGTGGGCTCGTCTCTGTCCAGCGGCTGTCAATGAAGGCCTGACTAGTGTGGGCGAATAGGTTCGTTATACTCAGCAGCGTTCGTACCCAGCACACATTCGTTCACTTCCTGAACCCCTGCCCCCCCCCCAGCGCCAGTGCCGTGTCAACTACATATATAGATAGAAACCTAACCCTTGTGGGTCTTTCTGTGCTCACGTGTAGTCTGTGACACTCACACACACACACACACACACACACACACACACACACACACACACACACACACACACCACACACACACACACACACACACACCACACACACACACACACACACCACACACACACACACACTCGGGACCTCACTACATTGGAGGAAAGAAGAAATAAGTACAGACATGATAACCACACATACAGAAAGAACCTCACTACATTGGAGGAAAGAAGGAATCACAAAGTAGATATAGAAGCAATGTTCAAATTAAGGAACAGCAGAGTGAGAGGGCATAATCGGAGACTGAAAACACAGACGAGACACAGATGTCAGAAAGAACCTTTCCAGTCTCAATGTGGTAAAGAAGTAAAAAGAACTAAATGAGGAAGTTGTGGGAGCCAATTCGAGTCACAGCTTTAAATGGAAATGCAAGAAAGGCGAATGAAAAGAGTCACTGCCTTGAACTAATGATGGTCGAAAGGCGGGACTTAAGAGCTGATGCTCGACTCTGCAAGCACAGCTAGGTGAGGGAACTTTAGTGATATACGCACGCACGCACCCACGCTAACGTTG